TCTGCTAACTGGGAGCCCAAGTCTGACCAGTGGGAGCACTTCTCTCCTCTTCCTAAGAGCCTGAGTGGGGTCCAGCGAGAGCACCTCTACCCTATTTCTAAGAGCCTGGGTGGGGTCCAGTGGGAGCACTTTCCTCCTTCTCCCAGAGAGCCCGAGTAGGTCACAGTGGGAGTATCACTGGGCCAGCTGCAGCTCAGTTCCACCGCTACTGTGAAGGAGTTATTACTTCCACAGAGTTCCCTTCTGAGAAGATCCAGAAATCCACCTTTGAACTGCCCTCCTGCACACTGCTGCTTTACTGGGCTCTGGAACTTCTGACCCATGGAACATGGCATGATTATTTTGCTGTTCCCTATGAATTCCATACACATATATTTATGCGCCACTTACCATTAAACCCTCCCCATCCTTTCTTTGAGCCCCATGACTCTGGGGCAATCACCACAGGCCTTCTGAGTTTACCCCATCTACCCTGAAAAGAGTATGGAGTAAACAGGATAACCTCTTATGCTTTGTGAAAACAGTACTCTGAATAGCTAAGCTATAGAATCAACCTAGGTGCCCTTCAATAGATGAAGGGATAAAGAAAATGTGGTACATATATGCATGGAATATTACTCAGCCATAAGGAAGAATGAAATTATGGAGACTATCATGCCAAGAGAAATAAATTAATCCCCCAAAGCCAACATTGTCTAAAATGTAAATATCCCTAACTTTAAACTTGAGGTAAAATTGTATAAGTAAAAAGCACTTTGCACCAATTGCCTTTTCACTCTTTCCCTCACTTATTTTGGCAGGGCTGGGGATCAAACTCAGAGCCTTATGCACACTGGGCAAGCACTCTACCCCTTAATTACATTCCCAGCCCCACTCTTAGTTTTAAAAGAAATTCAATGTTTCTATTTCTTAACAGTGCTATCGAGATATAATTTACATATTATTCAAGTCACTCATTTTAACTATACAACTCAGTGGTTCTTAGTATATTCACAATATCTATTTCAAGAATAAATGCTGTGACCAATGCAGAAATCATGAAAATTCACAGAAAATGCCACAGATTCATTAGGCCAAATGATGACACTGAATTACGAGGTCATTTTCCATAACTCTTTCTTCATAGGACTTATAAATTATATAACTGTATGTATATCTTAATGCAAGTTTATATAAATTATATTTGATCTGTTTTCCCATCTTCAAATTTATAATGAGAATAATATTAATCTGAACTAGAAATATTACTAAAACCACAGCATAACCAGAGCATACAGGCCAGTGGACACATATATCTTAAATTAAATTAAAAAAAAATTTTTTTAAGATGTTGATGGACCTTTATTTTATTCATTTATTTACATGAAGTGCTGAGAATCGAACCCAGTGTCTCAAACAAGCTGGCAAGCACTCTACCACTGAGCCACAACCCTAGACCTAAATATATTTTAAATTTAAACAAAAACCAGGTATTTACTGCTTTAATATGTTCTAACTCAAACATTTAGGTACATACACAAAGCAATGAAACTGTCAGGGTCCTTTCCTCCTTGCATCAAGGCCACAAAATGGGTGTGAACAAGAAACTCAGCAGCATCTACACCCTATTCGCAGTTCCTCTGGGATGTAAGGGCAAAAATAGGGCTCCATTTAAAAAAAAAAAAAAAAAAGTTCTGACTCCTCAATAAGCTATGCCAATTATTTTGTTATAAGTCTTCATAAAAATTTATGGAAGTATTAAGTAAATGATTAAAACTGACAAAAAAGCAAATGTTTGCCCTTTCCTTACACGGGACCACAGTGCATTCTTTTTCATTTTGTTCTTAGACTATACATATTAAATTTTGACCAGAGTTAAATTTTCGAGAACTTCCCAGAAGAACAATGGGAAAAAAAGTTGTCCCCAAAGAAAGTTTGTACATAACGGCACAGAAGAACATATCCAAGGAAGTTAACTCTGCTTTAATTCTATAATCCAAGTATTCAAGTAATAAAAGAGCAGTTGTTCGAACAGTTAAGTAATACTGCATGTGACAGATTTGGGCTTCCATATACTTGCAACTATATCACCATTAAGATGTTGATGGACCTTTATTTTATTCATTTATTTACATGAAGTGCAAGAAAGTCACACCTATCCTACTAAGTTCTAATAACTAAATAAAAACGGCTGGGGCTGGGGCTGGGGCTCAGTGGCAGTGTGTTTGCCTAGCACATGTAAGGCACTGGGTTCGATCCTCAGCACCACATAAAAGATAAAAACATAAAGGTACTGAGTCCATTTATAACTAAAAATATTTTTAAGAAATAGCAATGGAAAATTGTCCTTATTTTTATTTATCTCTATAAAAACTCAAGAATATTCTTTGCCCAGAGTCTAATTTTCTGGGGCTTCATTACACAGGGTAGACACTTAAACAACAAAAAGCTCCATTTTCAATCCATCAAGCCTGCCAGGCCTTTTCCCTACTTTTAGAAAAAGAATAGAAGAATGAACAATAACTGTCTATATAAAAGCTGTAGGACCAAATCTTTACAGCAATATCACATTAAGTGTGAGCCATTTTTCATGCCCTAATAGTCTCAACTCAGGAACAGTTGTATATTTTTAAAAAGTATTAATATTCTTTAAGGATGTCATTGCAATATCCAGCCAAAATTTTTACTTTGCTAAATAAAAAGAAGACTGTCAGTGATGTACCTAAGGATGAAAATAGGAAGTCAGTTCCATATTAGTTCATGTTTTCCATGCTTCCACTTCACTATGAATCAGTCATCAATGACCTTAGAAAACACATTCCATCTTTGGGGTGTACAAATAAATCTGATTCAATGCAAAATACCAGTCCAAAGTTCAGAAAGCCTAAGAACCCAGAGTAAAAATCAAAGTCATAACTTTTCTTAGGCTTCTATCATTGAATTGCTCCTTGATCCCTGTGGCAGAACTTCAGGCATGCTTCCAGGTCATGCAACCCCCTGATATCTCCATCCAAAAACCTCTCAAAAGCCCTGGATATGATCACTGTCAAGTTTCATGAGAATCCTTAAAAGCAATCTAGGGGGGGCGGGGGCTGTAGTTCAGTGACAGAGTTTTGCCTAGCATGTGTGTGAGGCACTGGGTTCGATCCTTAGCACTGTATAAAAATAAAAACAAACACAAATAAAGCATTCTTTTATTTTGATTTGTATATTGTCAATATACAACTACAAAAAAAAAGCAATCGAGGCAAGTGTAAATATGTACATGTGTAATAGGAACTCAAATACAAATTTGGAATAAACAAGTGAAAAATTCTGGAGAAAATATAAATTCTTTGAGGAGAACACTATGGTTCATCAGTTTAAGTCACACAGATGAAAAACCCAAGAAAAGAATCTTTAGGTAATCACGTTTTTCATTTCACAAAAATTAGTTTTTTTCAATGTGGTAGCAATTTACTTAATTTACTAAGTGAAAACAGCCTGTTTCACAAAGCTTTTTTTTTTTAATGATATATTAGTCAATTAATCGCTTGCTCAATAATTACCAGGCATTTCTGAATGTTATCACCATCCTTTTCCTGTTAATTTCAGCATTACTTATGATGATGATTTGGTAACTTTTCTACTACTTTGTTTTTAACTACTTTTCTTACAGGATGTAACTCAGATACAGCAGATACAAAGTGCTGGCTTCAGTGGATGTAGCTCTGCCAGCGGTACACTGGCAGCAGCAGTGAAAATCTGGAAAATCTGCGAGCCAGCTGCCTAGCATGCTTGAGGCCCTGGATATTTTGATCTTGAGTACCACCAGAGGGGTGGGGGGGAAGCCAATGACACAAGACACAAGATGTCACTTTAAAGTCCTTTTGCATTTCTGAAGTGTACCCGTTCTTGGTTTTTCTCAGGTTGGTTACTCTAACTTCCTGTTTTCTACAGGTCTCTAATGTTTTCCTGCTACTAGCTAAAACCTGTACCACAGTAGTTATTTTGATTTTTCCAAAATACATATCTCATAAATCTACAATGTACTGTCTAGATTTTAAGTTCCCAAAATCTCTATTATATTCTTATTCCAATTGCTATCTTTTTTTTTTTTTTTCTGTGTGGTGCTGGGGTTTGAACCTAGGGCCTTGTGCATGGAGGCAAGCAGTCTGCCAACTGAGCTATATCCCCAGCCCTTTATTCCAATTGCTATCTGTCATCATGAAATGTTATCCGTGGTGTCCCTCTTGGTCTTGGACACTCCTGCCTTCTGGTTTTCGTCTGTCGGTCATTCGTGTCTGAAGCTGCATGCCTTACCATCGCAAGTGTCAACTAGCTGGAAAACAAAGCCCCCTCCCAGCCCTTCCTTCACCAAGAGAAAACGACCCTTCCGAAACTCACTGCTGGCTACGGTCTCACTATGCCAACTCATGGCTAAGAAAGAAGGAGGAGAAAAAGAGGATGCCAACTCGATTAAATGCAATACTCCATATTATGTACAAAATTGCTTGAGGTAAATAACTGTAAATCTCGTTATTTAATTCTTCCAAAATTTCCTGCCACTCATTCATTCCCACTGGATTCTGGATGATCCTATACAAAAGTGCTCCGTTTCACAACAGGGTACTGGCAGAAAGAAAAAAAGCAAGCGTTTCAATCTTTCTGACATCAGCAACCTTTCGGGGGACACTTACTGCTCTTCAACTGTTTTAGAAACTACCCAAAACCACAGTCTTATGGATAGAAGAAAATTTTAAGTTCTCTTCCCACTGGCTGTCACATTTTTCAAATCCCAGGAAAGGAAACTCCGCGCCCGAGGAACGCGCGGCCTGCGGGCCAACGCGCCGCGCCTGCCACCTGCGCAGCCCGCGGCCGGGGACGCGGTGGCTGCGAGGCCCTGCCATCGGACCCGGGCGCCCGACCCCGCCGGGTGGGTCACGGCGCGCGCGCGGAAGCGGGAGAAACCTGCCCCTGGCTCGCACAGGTGCGCGGGGCTGCGGACCCGGCTCGGCGGGACCCGGGCGGTCGGCACTCACCCAGGCCGGCAGGTCGCAGGCGCGCACCCCCAGGCGCACGACGCGCTCCTCGTCCTCCAGCAGCGCCAGCGCGCGGCACAGGCGGCTGGCCTTGAGGCCGCGGCTCCGGCGGCACCAGGCGAGCAGCCCGAGCGCCAGCAGCACCCAGCTGAAGCTCAGCCCCAGGTAGCCGAGCGCGTACACCGGCAGCAGCAGCGCGAAGCTGCGCGCCAGCTGCGCCAGCAGCCCAGGCACGTCCACGCTCAGCGCGCCTCCGGGGGGCTCCGGCGCCGGGCGGTCCCCGGACTGGCCGGCGCCGGCCTCCGGGGCCTGCTCCCCGGCGCCGCTCATCGCCAGCCGCGCTGCGCTGTCCTCTTGGACGAGGAGGGCGCGGCGCTCCCGCGGAAGCCGCGCCACTCGAGCCCGCGACTCTCTGAGGGGACCGCCCGCCCCGCCGGGGAAGGGGTCGGAAGCTCGACGTCACCACGCCGGTCCGGCCCCGCCCCCGCGCCAGCGCCCCTCCGAGGGGTCGGGCGGAGCCGCCGGAGGCTGGGCGGTGCGTGGCATCATCTCGCCAGGCCGGCCGCGCCCCGCCCCCTCTGAAGGATCGGCCGAACCGCCTGAGGACGGGCGGCGCTGACGTCATCGCGCCGAAGCGGTCCCGCCCCCGCGCCAGCGCCCCTCGGGGATCGGCCGAACCGCCTGAGGACGGGCGGCGCTGACGTCATCGCGCCGGGCGGGGCGGGCTCCGCGGAGGGGTGCGGCCGAGGCGGGGCGTGGGTGGGGTGGGGCCCGCGCGGGACGCCGGGGTCCTGGCTCTGGGCGGGCCGGGCAGCCCCGCAGCGCCCCGTCGGCCGTCGGTTGTCCGGGAGGGCCGCTGGCAGTTGTGCGGCAGTTCGGTGGAGGACGTTCCCCAGCAGCGCTCAGTCGTTGCCCGCGGAAGGGAGCCGGGCAGGCGCGGGGGGCAGGGGCGCCGCCGCGCGCGTGTGGTTGGGCCTCTCGGCGGGGGCGGTGGAACCCGCCGCCGAGGCCCCGCTCGGCCCGACCTGGCCAGGGCGGCGAGCCTGGAGCCGGAGGAAAGCGATTTTCCTTTCTTTGCTCTTCACGGTGCCAGATTACGGCATGTAAATGGCACACAGGTAAAAGGATGAGTCTCAGCCCCTTTTCCTGTGCTGCAGGTTAAGGCTCTTAAGGCCGCCTTTTATTCCCGATCGTTTTGGTTTTGGGTACTGCGGATTGAACCCAGGTCACTCTACCCCTGAGTTGCACCCCCAGCCATTTTTATTTTTCATTTTGAGACAGGGTCTTGCTAAATTGCCCAGGCTGACCCCCAACTTGTGATCTTTCTGCCTCAGCCTCCTGAGTCGCTAAGGATTACCAGCATTCAGTCCCATACCTGCTCCAGATTACTAGTACATCAAAGTGAGTGATTTCTTCATTAACACAGGAAGGAGAGGAGCCTTTTTTTCTGTGGTCTTTGCTCTAAAGCCGTATATTTGCATCCTGTAAAGTTGTATGAACATAAACCACAGGGAATACAATCACGTACTGTCTGCTAGGCCTAGGGACCCGTGGGTAAAACAGATTGAAGAAAAATGCCAGCACTAGGAGCCAGTCAGCCTCCTTGGTAACCCCCACTGAGCTGTTTACTCTGTATATCCTATCTCCTGTAACCTCTTCCTGTTCCTGCTATCCTTAGCACTGCCTCTTAAAGTGTGTCATGCGTGTTCCAGTGCACAAACGTGAAATTTCAGCCTTTCTGGTTTCAAAAAGTAGTGCTACTTCTAAAATATGATCCTTACAATTTTGAGATCTCCTTCCCTCAAAATGTTTCATCTTAGAGGGTAGAGCATTCAACCACAATTAGAAAAAAAAAAAAACAACTGTGTTGGCGCTCAGAAAATGATAAGTAGTCTTTTAACTAGCCTTGGGACCTGTCTCTCTCAGACTTCCTGTCCTCCTGTGTCATACTCCTCTTTCTCCCTCCCAAGACAAGCCATAGAAACTAGAATTTCTCTTTGCCAGGACAAGTCATAGGAACTAGAACATCTTTTCCCTCCAAACAGCCATAAAGCCTGAAAAGGTTTATCTTCCACTGGTTTTCTATTTTGGAACTAGCCAGAAAGAAATTCTCTGACCTACTGTGTCTGATAAAGAGATCAGAAGACCCCCAATTCCAGAAGGGGGTTCTTCCCTATATTTGAGGAAGGAATTGCACACAGAGAGGCCAAGAAGAATCTGGACAGGACTGGCTGGGTTCCCCCCTCAGATCTTTACCATTACCTCACCCCTTTGGGCCAATCACATTCCTACATGGCTGTCCATGCTTTGTTGAATTTAAACATAAAAGACAGTTCACACTAGGTCTTTGGGTCTTCATTCTGAAAGTTCCTGCTATGACCAAGTAAATGAGTAATCTTTTTCTTCTGTTACCCTGTCTTGGTGTAGGGTTTTTGGCTAGGGCTCTTTATGATGGGCTGGAAGTCAACTACTACTCCCTTTTCAGTCCCCATATCCCACACCACAGAGACAACCGTCCCTGTGTTTCTGTGATGCACCTTATGTGATAGACCAAATGTTCACATAGTGAACATCCTTTGCCTAAGCTTTTCTGAACAAGTTTCTGTGCTTTGTAAACATCTCTTGATTAGTATTCCTTTAATCCTGCCTTCCTAAAAAGATGTAGAAACCTTCTATTCTGGCAAAGAGGAGACAGTGGTTAACAAGGTGGGAGATAACCAGGCTATGGGCAGAGGGTCAGTCAGCCTGGTTATACTTGCAAATAAATAGAATGATGAAGGCCAGACTTCTTGCTACTGGAGAAGATACTTACAAACATGGATGGCTGGGCATGGTGACTCACTCCTTTTATATCATCTACTCAGGAGGCTGAGACAGTAGGATTGCAAGTTTGAGATCAGCCTCAGCAATTTTAGCAAGATCTAAAAGTAAAAACAGCTGGGCAGGGCTGGGGTTGTGGCTCAGTGGTAGAGTGCTCACCAGCATGCACGAGGAAATGGTTCGATCCTCAGCACCACATAAATGTAATAAAGATATTGTATCCACCTAAAACTTAATAATAATAATAAAAAAAAACAGCTGGGCATGGTGGCACACACCTGTAATCCCAGCGGCTTGGGAGACTGAGGCAGGAGGAGTGCAAGTTCAAAGCCAGCCTCAGTAACTTAGGTAGGCCCTTTCTCAAAATAATAAAAAGGGTTAGGGATGTGACTCAGAAGTTTGATACTGGGTTCAATCCCCAGTATCTAAATAAATAAATAAATATAATGAAAATGGCTGGGAATGTAGCTCAGTGGCAAAGAGCTCCTGGGTTCAATCCGTAGTACCACAAGAGACATAACAAAAACCAAAAAACTCAAAAACAACAAGAAAACCCCCAAAACTTAGAAAGGAGGAAGACTACAAAGAACTATGTGGGAATGGATTGAAATTGGAGGTATTAGTAAACTCATGTTTTTGATGCATATGTACAGATAGACATAAAAATAGTCGTATGCCTGTACTTGTGCACATGTGAGTGTAGGTGTATGTGTGTATGAACACAGGTGCACTTCCTGATTCTGCCAGATGAGGGTCTGGAAGCAACACTAACCCAGTGCCAAGGAGCATAACCTGCTCTCATCAGGGTTATCACCTACTCAGCTGATGGAACTACACATTACCAGTGGGAGACAGGTTGGAATTTTGAATCCTGATATGTGTTGACATTTCTAGAACACTTCTAGCAGGAAGCATGACCTGAGGGAACATCAAATAGCCAATATAAAAGCCCTCCTATTTTGTTTAAAACAGTTCCAGATTATAAGAGACCAAAGGCACACAGTCCATGCAATGGATGTTCCTGATGAAGCTTGAAGGGAGTCTGTGGACTGTGTCAATATTGGATTCCTCTTTGGGAGGACTGTGTGGTGAGGACCTGCTTCACTTGAAGTATCTGGGACTGCTGTGGTCCCATTAAGTTCCTCCCCTTTCTGTGGTTGGAACTTAATGGGCAGTATGATAAGAGGTGATTATAATCTCGTCTGGTGGCCCACTCCTATAATCCCAGCATCTCAGGAAGCTGAGACAGGAGGATTCCAAGTTTGAGGCTAGCCTCAGAAAGGGCTTGGAATGTAGTGTCCCTGGGTTCAATCCCCAGTACCAAAACAAAGAAACAACCAAAACACCATTGGCAAAACAACAAAATGTAGCTACTAGAAAATGTGTAAGCAAATGGGACTCACCTTCTATTTCAATTGACAGTGCTGTTATAGATACGATTACTGAACGCTTCCCAACTATTCTTGTTTGCACATTTGTCTTCCCCCACAAAATGTTCTTTCTCAGTGAATCTTCCTGGTTAATTATTTATGCTTCAAGATCTAACTGAAATGAAGCCTTTCCTAATGTTATTCTCTTCTTCCAGGCAGAATCACTGCATTTATTTTTTCCAGTGTTGGGGACTGAATCTGGGACTTGATGATCACTGCATTTTATTAGTAGCTCTTACACTTTCACATCATTTAATAGTTGTTTGCATATTTCTGTCTTAACAATTACTAGTTGCTAGAGGTCCAGATAGTGTTGTACTTAGCTATGACTAGCACTCTCTTGATTGCCAGGTCAAGGAGCTTAGTCATCATTTAGTGAATAAATAAAGATAGAAGAAATATTATGTTGTAATCAATTGTCAATGAGCTATTAAAAAATAATTGTTTTAGGTTTCTCTATAGGCCTAGATTGATTTATTCTGCAGATATAACTGATTGTGTAAGAAAGAGGAAATAGCATTTGCAGAGGTCTGTAGATTGGTGCACTTTAACAACTCCAAGTTACTCTGGTGATGAGAGAGTGCGGTAAAGGCAGGGAGCGACACAAGATTTACAGTTTAGATAGCTTTGTCTGCAATGGAGGAGGGGTTGCTAGGGACTGGAGTGGAGAGAAATGAACACATTCATATTCAAGAGATACTTAGGAGGTAGTTTGACAACAGTATGATTGGGGTTGTCATTTCTGTAGCAGGCGGCTGTATTTCCATTCACTCTCATATTCAAGAAACAGCGTGACGCTGGTGAGCGCTCAGGTCGGCTTTGCTGGGGCAGGCTCTGCAGAAGCAGCTTCACCTACATCTCCTTAGCTGCCTTCCTCTCCAGTATAAGGACCAGCGGAAGGGGAAGGCAGGCTCAGCCCAAGTGCGGAAGGCGTGATTTGCCTTAATATCGCCTCCCGGAGAGGCGGGAGCTACCAACTTTGTGCATACCGTGGTCGTAGACTGGTTCCTAACTAGAACTGGAAAACAGCATGCACAGAAAATCCCCAGCTGCAAAACCGCGGCGCTGGCACGACAGTCCTGCTGCGCGGCAGCCTGTGTCCAAGCCCTATTTAAGCTTGCCGAGTATTTGCTCATTTCTCCGGCCTTTGCGCTGTAGAAAGTCTCTTTCTCAATAACCCCGTTCCAAACACTTGATTCCCATCTTAAGGATATACTATTGACATGGCATTGAGCTCAGCGGCGCTGTACCACTGAACCTCATCCCCAACAGTTTTTATTTTGAATCAGGGTCTAAATTGCGTAGGGCCTCGCTAATTTGCTGAGGCTGGCCTCGATCCTTCGCTCCTTCTGCCTCAGCCTTCCCATTCGCTGGAATTACAGGTGTGCGCCCCCCTGACCGGCTGGTATGGGCAAAGCCTTATTCATATGTCAAGTTCTTTAATGACCTCTCGCTCTGTCTCCATAGAAGGCCTCACCAAGGGGACGCCGCGCTTCCGTCCAGAAGAGAACGGCGACCTGTCGAGTCTGCAGCTCAGGCCCTGGATACCGCCCTCTCTGAGCCGCGGGCCGGTTAGCGACCAATCAACCTGCAGGGGATGAGGCGGGGACACGCAGGCGCACTGGGAGCGGCCGCGGTGCACGCTGGGCAGCAATCGCTGGTCCCTTGGTGGCCCTGGCTTGCCGGTTGCTAGGAGTCGGGGACGCCCGCCCGCCGAGAGCTGCAGCTCAGCAGGCCTGGTTTGGGCTGAAAAGAGCGGGCGCCAGCCGGCTGGTCTCCCCCTGGTCGCCCGCGCCTGCCTAGGGCCTAGGATACCGCGGTGCTCGGGTCTACAAGGAGTGATGGAACCTGGGAAGGTCGGTACGCGGCACGTCCTGGCTAGGCGGGAAGGCGCGTCCCTCACTGCGGCCGGGGGCTGCCCGCGCCCGACTCCTTCGACGGAGTCTGAACGACTGGGACCCGCGGAGCCAGGGGGAGACCCCCGCCCAACTCTCCTAGCAGCGTTTCTCTCCTGGCTGCATCGCGGGAGCTAGGAGTGGGCGTGAGGGGTGGGCCGAGAGGCGGTATCCACGACGTGAGGGCGGGGCGAAGGGCGGTATCCAGGGTGTGAGGGCGGGCGGGGGCGGTACCCAGGGGGTGAGGGCGGGGAGAGGGGCGGTGTCTAAGGAGGGAAGGCAGGGGAGGGGCGGTACCCAGGGGGTGAGGGCGGGGAGAGGGGCGGTGTCTAGGGAGGGAAGGCAGGGGAGGGGCGGTACCCAGGGCCTGAGGGCGGGGAGAGGGGCGGTGTCTAAGGAGGGAAGGCCCGGGAGGGGCGGTACCCAGGGCCTGAGGGCGGGGAAAGGGGCGGTGTCTAGGGAGGGAAGGCCCGGGAGGGGCGGTACCCAGGGCCTGAGGGCGGGGAGAGGGGCGGTGTCTAGGGAGGGAAGGCCCGGGAGGGGCGGTACCCAGGGCCTGAGGGCGGGGAGAGGGGCGGTGTCTAGGGAGGGAATGCCCGGGAGGGGCGGTACCCAGGGCCTGAGGGCGGGGAGAGGGGCGGTGTCTAGGGAGGGAAGGCCCGGGAGGGGCGGTACCCAGGGGCCTGAGGGCGGGGAGAGGGGCGGTGTCTAGGGAGGGAAGGGGCGGTACCCAGGGGCCTGAGGGCGGGGAGAGGGGCGGTGTCTAGGGAGGGAAGGCCCGGGAGGGGCGGTACCCAGGGCCTGAGGGCGGGGAGAGGGGCGGTGTCTAGGGAGGGAAGGCAGGGGGGCGGTACCCAGGGGGTGAGGGCGGGGAAAGGGGCGGTGTCTAGGGAGGGAAGGGGCGGTACCCAGGGGTGAGGGCGGGGAGAGGGGCGGTGTCTAGGGAGGGGAGGGGCGGTACTCAGGGCGTGAGGGCGGGGAGAGGGGCGGTGTCTAGGGAGGGAAGGCAGGGTGGGTTAGGGTTAGGGTTAGGGTTAGGCTTCTATATTTACTTGAATGATTCTGGGATGGTTACTTACCATGCCATATTTTCCTAGTTTGTAAAATGGGCACAATAATAGCCATACCACAGAGTGTTTATAGTGATTTAATGAGATATTACATGTAAGAGTGCTTAAAACACTGTCTGCTATTTTATTAACAAATCTCAGTAAACGTAGCTAGTGTTATTGGGTTATTCTTGCTATCTATGAGTACCCACTAAAAGATGAGAAGTTTAGTTTTCCTATATTTCCTCTTACCTTCTCTCTTAGTTTTTGTATTGTTTTCCTATAATAATGTTAAATAATTTGTGTTGTATTAATTCTAGGTAGTATCTTTTAACTTTCCTCTAAGTAAGTTAGGAAGATAAGTCCTAAATTACCCTCCATTTCTCCTTAAACAAAACAATATCCTGACTTTTACATCTTTATAACATTCCCTTTCCATTTCCATAAATTATTATGTTACTTTTCTGTGACTTGTTTATAGGTTGATGCATGATTATGTTAGTAGAATTCACTGCAGACCCAAACAGTGTGACAGGACAGTAGAGAAGATGCAGTCCTGGAGCCCTATACACCTTGTCAAAGAAAACCCACAGGGTCAAATAGATACTCAAAATTTTCTTACATTTAACTAATGTACTGCCATGTAATTCACTTCATATTTGGACTATATGTTTCTTAAATGACCCTTTGATTTTCCATTAGTTTCTCTCTCTCTCTCTCTCTCTGTGTGTGTGTGTGTGAGTGTGTGTTGCCCAGGCTGACTTTGAACTCCTGGGCTCTAGAAATCCTCCTGCTTCAGCCTCCCGAGTAGCTGGGACTATAGGCATGTGCTAGCTTCCATTAGTTTCTAGTTGCCTTCTTTTTGACAAAAAATAGCATATATTATTTGTGGGATTAAAACTTATCACTGTGACTTTAAGCTTATTTTTTAAATTTATTGCAGTGCTGGGGATTGAATCCAGGGCCTTGCACATGCTAGGCAAGTACTTTAACAATGAGCAGCACCCCATGTCCTCTTAAGCTTATTTCAGTCATAGTAACTGAAATTCGATTGGTAAGCTGGAAGTCACAGAATAAAAAAAAAAAAAATTATTTTCCTAAAGCTTGCTGACTTTCTGTTCTCATTGGGATTTATTGTTTCTTGTATGTCTTGGGTAGACCTGAGTTAATATCACTGTTTCTTGAATCCAGTGTCTTCCTCTATTTTGAAATTCTCCCTTTTCAGGGATTGGTAGGAAGAAAACTGTAAGAATGATTTATTGGGGCTGGGGATGTGGCTCAGTGGTAGAGTGCTTGCTTAGCATGCATGAGGCCTTGGGTTCCAACTCTAGCACTCACAAAAACAAACAAAAAACACCCCCCAAAACAACAAAATTATTATCTTTGTTATACTAATATGCATATTTAGGCCAGCATAGAATTCTAGGACCAAAATAATTTCCCAGAATTTTGAAGCATTATACTTTTATCTTCTAGCAACTAGTTTGTTTGGTCAATGAAATATCTTTGCAAGGAACATTTCCTTTTTCTCCAGATGATTAGGATCTTTAATATTCTGAAATTACATGTCAGTTTATCTACTGTAGGTCTTTCTTTTTATCCATTTTGTGTTTCCTTGAGGTTTATTCTGATGCATATTTAATGAACATTTTTAAATTAGTAAAAGCAACAGACCCCAGGGCTGGGTAGTTCCTGGCAGCTAAGGAATTACTATATTCGATTCTCAGTTGCATTAAGGAATTGAGCTCCCTGGTCATTGGAACCTAATTACATAGTTCTTTTTTATTTTTAAATTTAATTAATTAATTGATTGATTTTTGTGGTGCTGGAATTGAACCAAGGCTCCCTACCACTGAGCTACGTCTAGCCTTCTTTGGGGGGGGGGGTGCTTAACCACTGAGCCACATCCTGAGCCCTTTTTATGTTTCATTTAATTTGAGACAGGGTCTCCCTGAGTTGCTTAGGACCTCACTAAGTTGCCGAGGCTGGTTTTAAACTTGTGATCCTCCTGCCTCAACCTCCTGAATTCTGAGATCATAGATGTGTGCCATTGCACCCAGCTAAGCAACCTATTCTTCTGCACCAGTATATTTATTGGTTGATAGCAGAGGGCATTTTAACATATCCAAATAAACATCCAGAAGAAGAGAACATAGGGTCTGGAAGGGTCCCCAGCACAGGAACTTCTGTCCCTACAGAGCTGGGGTGTGCCACTGTCCCAGATGAATGACTTCTGTTCAGCTTCCTGTGAGCCTGCAGGTGTCCACTGTCCAGAAGCTCCCTAAGCCCTGACCTTTTGGCTTTTTTCCCTTAAATTGTAGATGGACTCAATACCTTTATTTTATTTATTTTTTAACGTGGTGCTGAGGATTGAACCCTGTGTCTTCCACATGCGGGGTGAGCGCTCTACCACTGAGCCCCAGCCCCAGCCTACCTTTGGCTTTTTATCAGGGCTCCATTGCATAGTGTTACTGAGGCATGGACACTGGGTATATAGAACACTGAATGAGAAGGGTTGTCTGGTGAAGGGAGAGGAGACCCAGCCAGGCCTTCTGTCCGGATTCTTCTTGGCCTCTGTGTGCAGCCTTCTTTCTTCCATTACTGGACAAGTAGATCAGAGCGTTGCTTGCAGTACAAAGGCAGGGAAGACGAGATGGAATCTAGCTTCCTGTGGCCTGCCTCAGAGCAGAAGGGGCAGGTGAAAGGAGAGCCACAGAAGCCGGAGAAAGACGGCTGCTCGAGCCTGCACCCTCCGAAGCGTCTGAGGTGCTTCAGGAACCAAGGAGAAAAGGCCGAGAATATGCATACCATCCCAGTGATTGGGGAAAGAAATAACTAGGATTGTGGGAGTGCTGAGCTGGGAACCATGGACGCAAACCAACTAACCGACCCACAGAGTGACTTATGGAAATAACGTGGGTTTATCTGCACAGTGACGAAGTCCTGAGCCACAAGAACTGGCGGGAGGAAGTTAAAGCCTCAGGACAGTGCGTTTCACTCCAGGCCCTGTGTCCATGAGCACTGAGGCCACACTGCCCTCACTGCCACCTGGCACCCAGCAGGATCTCTGGCCTTGGCTGCACACCTGGACTGACTCTGCCTGGCTGTGCCTTGAGTGGCTGCTGTCTCAGCCCAGAGCTAGCTGGCATGTCCACTGGCAGCCCGACTATTTGTCCAAGGTCATTCTCCTGGGAGGTGACGCTAGCCAGGGTCCTTCTCCTGATGGAAGCGTTGTGAGGAGAGCTCCCGGGAAGCCCTGTGTTGATAGAGGGGAGCCTAGTCAGTCAGCCCACCTGCTCTGAGGGCCGATGAGGTGGTTTTCACGTTGCTGAGGTCTTGTTGCACAGTTCTCTGGAGCTCTGTTATAAACAGGTTCTGGACAAGTTGGTTGATTATGAAGTCAAACTGTGCGCATTTGTGTGTCTGTTTAGAGAGAAAGGTCGATTGTGTGTATAAAGTAGTTTTATGTGTATATAAGTTGTGTGTAGAGAGGTTTTTTTGTGTGTATAGTGAGGTTTTGTGTGCATAGTGAGGTTTTTTGTGTGTATGTATGTGTAGAGGTGTTTGTAGAGAGGTTTTGTGTTTTGTAGAGAGGTTGTATGTATATGTGTGTATAGAGAGGTTGTGTGTATATACGTGTGTAGAGGTTGTGTGTATGTAGAGAGGTTTTGTGTTTTGTAGAGAGGTTGTATGTATATGTGTGTATAGAGAGGTTGTGTGTATATACGTGTGTAGAGGTTGTGTGTATGTAGAGAGGTTTTGTGTTTTGTAGAGAGGTTGTATGTATATGTGTGTATAGAGAGGTTGTGTGTATATACGTGTGTAGAGGTTGTGTGTATGTAGAGAGGTTTTGTGTTTTGTAGAGAGGTTGTATGTATGTGTGTGTATAGAGAGGTTGTGTGTATATACGTGTGTAGAGGTTGTGTGTATGTAGAGAGGTTTTGAGTGTGAAGAGGGTGTGTGTGTCTGTAGAGGTTTTATGTGTGTGTATAGAGAGGTTGTGTGTGTAGCAGTTACATGTGTAGATTATGTAGAGGTTGTGTGTGTGTGTAGAGGATGTATGTGTGTAGAAAGTTATGTGAATGTGTAGAGATGGTATATGTAGAGGTTGTGTGTATAGAGAGATTGTGCAAAGGTTGTGTGTGTTAGAGGTTTGTGTGTGTAGAGGTTGACTGCGTGTGTGGGCAGGTCTCTTGCACTGGGAGGTGCCTCCTGGGGTGACCGCTCCCCTTCCTTTTCTCTGCCAGGTGCACATGACACTTAATGATAGACGTAAACCTCTCAAAGTCTGATTCTCAGATCTCCTTCACCTGAGTTGAATGGTTTGCTGGCAAGAAGGTTCTGCTGTTGGGCTCTCCTGAAGTGTTTTTTCCCGGGGTCAGGGTTTATTCCTTTTGTGGGAAAATGTTGTTCTTCTGTTCCTTACTTGGTGGACTGGGGAGTAGCTCCACAGCAGGTCCCTTTGCCTACCTGCGTGAGACCCTGGGTTTGATCCTCCAAAGTCTCTTATTTGGTGAGTCAGTTTTAAGCTCCATAGGGCAGGGCCTGAAATGCAGGTCTAGTTGGTCTTTAAAAGATCTCTGCAGAGCAGGGGATGCACACAACATGATTGCAGCCAGTGTGCAGAGATTCAGGGAGTGTGCGTGGCTCATGGGGAGTGGGAGCTCCCGGGAGGAGGGAAGCCTTGTGTCATCCTGTAACCTAACAATCTAAAAAGAAGCAAGAGAAAACCTTCCGGGCTAAGCAGGCTGTTCACTTGATTTTCAAGGGCCCCAAAGCCAGCCAGTCCAGTGCCATCTGTGAGCAAGTAGCTAGTGTCTGGGGTGAAAACTCCAGCTGCTGCTTGGCGCTCTCCTGCCCAAGCAGAGCAGTCTCCCCATGAGCTCTAAAAAGGTCCCCAGGGTCCTGGCCCTCTGGCTTTCTGCCATCCCGGGGTGGGACAAACTGACTGGGAGCTGTCCAGCACCCTCTGTCTTAGGAGCAGGAGCTCCCACCTTCCCCTGTGGGCACGGCACTTAGCTCTTGTTGGAAAATACAAACAAACAATATAGTTTAAACCCACAAAATATTTGATCAGCATTCAACTGCCATTATAACTTGTTTTCTCTTTAATTTTATAATGTGTAATAATTTTTGAAGTAGCCAAAGGAATACATTGTAAAATAATTTTATGGGTAATTTTAGATAGTTAATAACTTTTTAAAATTTATATTTCTGTCTTTTATTTCAGTAGGTTGATGAGTGTTTTTCTGGCAAATGAGAATTAATTACCACTGATTTAAATAGTGTCTGTCATGAAAAAGCTGCTCACTAGAACACATAAAATTAGTAATTTGGAACTTTAAAAAGTCTAACTTTATACTTTTCTTTTTAGAGAAGAACCAAAGATGATACTTGGAAATCAGATGACCTCAGAAAACACCTTTGGGTAATATGTTTTAAGGATTCAAGTTGGGCCATGTGCTGTGGTGGCACACGCCTGTAATCCCAGCCTTTCAGAAGGCTGAGGCAGGAGGATCGTGAGTTCAAAGCCAGCCTCAGCAAAAGTGAGGCACTAAGCAACTCAGTGAGACCCTGTCTCTAAATAAAATACAATCTCCGGTACCCCCCTGCACAAAAAAAAAAAAAAGATTCAAACTAGGGTCCATATGGAGCCTTTATGGGTTTTGTGGACACTCTTGCCTGATTCACAGCCCATACAACTCTGGTTGTATGTGGCTCATTTCAGATGCATTTTTGACTCAAAGTGGAAGCATGTGGCTAATGCCTTTGGAACTGCATCGGGACAGTCCAGGCTGTGGGCTGCCTGTCCTGCTTTTCAGTCCAGCTGACATCTGCACACTCAGGCCATCCTGGGCCAGGCACTCCATGTGCTCCACTGTGTGGTTCTCAGTGCACAGGGCCACCGTGGTGAGGTGGACTGGGGTACAGAGTGAGACTAGGTCCTGCTGCAAGTTGTGCAGTGAAGGTGTGGCTCTGCCTACAGTACAGATGCTTAAAAGGCAGCTCTATCACCTCTTCCTAATCCATGTTGTGTGCCAGCTCTGATTTGCTAACAGATACCAAAGTGTCTGACGTGTGGTTTCTAGTCAGCAGTTACAAAACGAAAATAAATAGGAATCCAGGAGCTTTGTGTTCTAAGTACCACCCCCCCCCCCGCCCCAGTCTTGCTGGAATTAGAAGCAGTTCAATCCAGTGTTTTTTATATATATATTTTAGTTGTAGTTACACACAATATCCTTATGTTATTTATTTATTTTTATATGGTGCTGAGAATCGAACCCAGAGCCTTGCATGGGCCAGGCGAGCGCTCTGCAGCTGAGCTACAACCCCAGCCCCTGAATCCAGTGTTTTTTAAGGGACTCTGATATGAGTATGATTCTCACATTCAAATACTAGGTTAATGGAGGGGCTCAGTGGCACAGCGCTTGCCTGGCATGCGAGAGGCCCTGGGCTCCAGCCAGGGCAGGGGAAGAAAAGTCAATGGAAGTGTGCTGTCCTGGTCAAGATGTCCTTCTCTCTCTTGCTTTAGGCGGCACGATCAGGCAGTCCCAAGGAGGAGAAGAAACACAGAGAAAGGAAGCTGCACAAGGAGTCCGAAGTGGAGCTCTCTGAACACAGGGAGCACAAGTACAGGGACCCCGACTCAGGAAGGACGACCGGGGGAGACCCTCAGCCCTCCAAGGAGAGTCCTCGTGGGGAGCGAGACCGAGAAAAACTCCGAGAGAGGAGGAGAGACACAAAAGACCGGGAGAAAGAAAAACCGAAAGAGAAATGTCGAGAACAAGACACAGAGAAGCCTCACGGCCGAGGAAAAGAGAGAGAAAAGGAGAGAGAAAAGGAGAGAGACAGGAGGGCTAGGAAGGAGGAGCTGAGGCCGAGGGCTGCGCACCACAGCCTCCTGGGCCCAGAGGCTCGGGACCGGCCCCTGGAGAAGGTGCAGAGGAAGACGCGCTCAGGTGCCTCCTGGGTGCTGGGGGGGAGGGGGTGGGGGAGTGGGGGGGTTGCCTGGACAGTTCTTGTGCACTGAGTCCAGAGCTGCTCTAGCACTGAGCCACGTCCCCAGCTATTTTTCTATTTTGAGACAAGGTCTTGCCAAGTTGCTTAGGACCTTCCTAAGTTGCTGAAGCTGGCCTTGAATCTGCAGTCCTCCTGCCTCACCTCCCCAGTTGTTGGGATTACAGGTGTGCACCACCAAGCCCAACTGCCTTTTCCTCTTTAGATATGTTCATTTTCCATTTTGTTTTCTCTTCTAGTTTGCACATGTTTTAGCTTTGAACTTTAAGTTACAGGCTCCTATTGTTTGTGTGAGAGAGACTTTGATTTTTCTTATGCTCATTCAGTCAGTAAAGGAACAGTTAACTTTCTCTTATTTTCTAGAGTTATATTGTTGAGATATATTTTAATTATCCCTTTGTGGATAAAAGGTATTTTTATCAAAAGCTCTTTGATAAAAGTATTCCTCAAACATGTCAGTCTTATTTTAAACAGTATCCAAATGCTACTTGTCTGAGTTTGTTGGAGTTCTAATGTAAGGGTGCATACTTTCCCTCTCAAGTGGAAGTTTCTTTGCTCATCTTTGGTTGTGCAGATAGTCTTTGCTTTTTAGCAAAATTCACTTGAGTCAACTGACATGCAACAGGAGCACATCAGAGAGTGGACAAAGGCTTTCGCCTGGCTGTGCCAGAGCTACAGAGCCAGGACACTGTCCACTGTGTTGGTCATGTGTCATTTCTGCACAGGGCAGCTGTCTGTAGTGGGGCCTACTGGAATATGGATGTGGTGTGGGCGTTTCTGGGGTTCATACATGGGCATTCTGTGGTGTGTGTGCCCTGGTGTGCGTGGTGGGTTAGCTGGGTTGCACTAGTAGCTAGTTTACTGCTCAATACTTCCTTTAAACATTTGGTGTTCTTGATGTTTTCTTTAGGAATGTCTCTTGTTCTCAACAGGGGCTTTTTGCCATTAACTTTGGTTGCTTTTCCTTTCCACACAGCATTGAAGAGAATTGTGCTGAGAAGACCAGTTGTGCAGTTAGACTCCTCACAGTTCCTCTGGTCTCTTTTCTAGGCCCGTCTCCTCATTTCCTTTTCCTCTGTGTCTCCCTCTGGACAGTGTGGCCCCCTTCCCAGTCACCTTTCTGTTGCACTGAGGGATTCAGGCTCGTGGTTTGTTCCTGATGTCCAGGTTTTAGCCCAGTTAGGCCGCTCCTCAAATCCCGGACTTGTGTGTCTGTCTGGGCTGTGCTGTCCAGGAGGTGTCACAAGGCTGACGTGCCCAAACTAGACTATGGGTCCCTCCTCTAGAACCTGCTCCACCTTTCCAGTGGATGGCAATGCTTTCTCCTGGGCCTCAGGTCAGAACACCTGGGAATCTTCTGACTCCACACTTTTCCTTTCAGTCTCTGGGAGAGTCCTGTGGGCTGTGCCTTCGCGGTGTGCCGGAGTCTGACCTGCATGCCTGTGTCACAGACTTCCTGGAGAAGGACCAGTGCTCTGCAGACATTTAGTGCATGAGCTTTGCCTCAATCTCTGAAAATTTGATTTTCCCCTTACCTTTTAAAGTGTTGGCTTTAAAAATTTTTACTTTTTATTTACATGTATTAATTGTACACATGAATAGGATTCAGTGTGCTTTTTGAACATGTATGTATAGTGTGCTGAAGTGTTGATTTTCTTAATTGCAAGCTCAGTGACTTTGTTTGTGCACACTCAGAAGTGAAGCCTGGTTTTCCTTGGTGCATCAGGCATCCCCAGAAACTGGGTGCCTGATGGAGTCCTTCCCACCCCTCCTGCAACTTCTCTCTGGGTCATGCTGGGCCCTAGCTGAACACCCCTCACTTGATAACTGGTACTTTAGCCTCTTGCTGGGGCAGGGCTGCACCTGGCAGTCTTAGCTGTTCTGGGCCCTCCTGCCTCCTTGTCTCTTCTCAGTGGTGGTGGTAGTGGCGGGGGGGGGGGCAAAAGGCTATGGGGCCATGCTCTCTCCTCAGCAGATGCCCAGGGCAGGGGTGTCCTTGGAGCTTCACAGGTGGCTAAGACGACTGGCTTGGTGGGCTGACTTTCCTTCTCTGACCAGGTTCTGCTTTGCCAGGAAGCTCTTCTACTGATGCCCAGAAACCCTGGAGACGTCATGTGCTGGGCTGTTGCCCCTCTAGGATATCAGGGGAACTAGGTGCTGCCAGGTGCTCAGTAACCAACTGGAGAGGGCAGCGTTCTGCCTGCCTCTCAGATTGTGGTTTTAAGTTTAGAACGAGGACTCGCCATTGTGGGGCTTGGGGCATGTGCTGGAGTGGAGGAAGGTCTGGAGTACATGCTGATGAAGGTGTCATGTGCAGTGGAGCCTGTGGTGTGGTGCTGGGTCTTCTGATATGCTGAAGGTTGGGGATACTAAGATGGGTTTTATTTTTTTAGTAAGCAAAGTAAGAATCGAAGAAAAAGAAAGGCGAGATGAAGACTCTGAAAGAGGAGATGAAGATAGAGAAAGAAGATACCGAGAAAGAAAGGTACACAGGGCCCCCGAGAAAGGGCCCCCTGGTGCTCCAGCGGAGGAGCCTGACTTAGAGGCACCCGTGAGAGTCCCTGTCAGGCTGAGGCCAGCCAGCTGCTGATCCCAAGGGCAGCTCCTGATGTTTATTACGTTTAGAAGACACAGATAAATAAAAAGAAAACAAAAACCGTCTACTCCCCACCCAGAGATAATTACTGATAATATTTAAATATGTATCTGACCAGTTTGTACACATGAATGCATAGGTAATATGTAAACTTTTTTCTTAAGTTAGATTTTTACTAAGTTTTATAGATCATTTGAACTTGACATATCTTGGGCGTTTTCTTAAGTCATCATATTTCTGATATTTTAATGGACACGTTTTAATGATATAGATGCATCGGTTCTGCTATTTTTGGACATGGAGATTGCTTCTGAATTTTTTTGTTGTTAAGACATCCATGGGGTGAACTTTTTACATTTATTCATAATTATTTTCTTATGGTTAATTTCTGGAAATGAAGGTGTTGGATCAAAGTAAATGTAAACCCCATTTGCTTTACACAAAAGTCATGATTATTTGAATCACCACAGTGCAATTCCCCCATGTCCTGGGCAGCAACGGGCCTCATCATTTTTTTTTTTTTTTTTAATATTTATTTTTTAGTTTTAGGTGAATACAATATCTTTATTTTGGTGCTGAGGATCGAACCCAGTGCCTCATGGGTGCTAAGCAAGCACTCTACCACTTGAGCCACAACCCTAGCCCCTGGGCATCATCATTTTTAATCTTTGTTAATTTGATTCAGAAGAAATTGAATTTCTGAAGATTTTCTTTTTTTTAATATATATATTTAGTTGTAGATGGACACAACATCTTGATTTTACTTATTTATCTCTATGTGGTGCTGAGGATTGAACCCAGTGCCTCACACATACAAGGCAAGCACTCTACCACTGAGCTACACCACCAACCCTGAACATTTTCCTTTTAAAAAAAAAGTTTTATTTTTAATTGGCACATAGTAGTTGTGCATATTTATAGGGTGCAGTGTGACCTTGTAACACACGTACAGTGTGTAATGATCATTGCAGTTCATTGGCGTATCCATCCCCTCAGACTTTGCTTTTTTGCATTAGAGACATTGGAAATCCACTGTGCTGGCTGTTTTGAAATACTCAATTAGCTGCTGTCAGCAGCAAGTGCCCTTCTGTGCATGGAGCAGAAGTCTTCCTGTATCCCACTGCACCCTCTGGGAGTCTTGAAAAGAGTTTACTGCCCTCTTGGCAAGTTACACCTGTTGCCCTTGTTACTTTCTTGTGGCATGGCTAACTTTTAAAGTCTAATGTGCCAGTCCTCTGTGTTGCTGTTGGTTGTCTAGAATTGATTGACCTGTGGGATCTTTATTTTTATAAGTCAGTGCAAATCATGAAGTAGGCAGGTCTGCCCTCACCATCCCTCTTGCTGCTGCAGCACCCAGCCCTTCCCTGACTCCAGCTTCTGTGAGTACCACGTCAATCTTCAGTTCCCGCTGAGTTTGTTCTGGTGAATGAATGGTGACAGTGATCTAACCTGTCCACTGAGGAGCTGGCCAGACACCTGCCTTTCTTATCCTGGCAAAGGCCAGTGGGGTGGACCAGAGTCTGGGAGAACAGAGCAAAGGAGAAGAAAGAGACTGTTGGGTCCCCAGGAGGGGTGAGGGACTGTAGGGAATCACGTGGTGAGGAGGGATCCTAGATGGAGAGTCCAGAGGCCCCTGCTTGGGGTGAGGCTGGGGACATGTGTGCTGTGGGGTCTGTAGGTCTGTGGACGGTGCCCCCAGAATGGAGTCTGAGCCAAAGGCTGGGTCATAATAACCTGGTACACATTCTGGTGAGTGTCATCCATCTTTCCTGGGCACCCACGGTGGCTTTGGGGACCTGGGGATGACTGCAGGATGGCCCCATTTTCAAGACTCTTCGTCTGGTTGCACCATTAGTGTGAGGGATGTGACCCTGCACTGAAGAGAGGAAGCATCCTGCCGTGGTGCTCACTGAGGGGCTCCTGGGTGGCACAGAGGCTTTCTGGGAGGGGCCCATAGGGCCTAGATTCTGAGTGCTGCTTTTGCTTTGCTGATTGTGTCACTGAGACCTTTAACTTATAGAAATAAGTTTTGGAGATTCTCGTCCCTGATTGACTGGTCCTATTGTCTTGGGTCTGTGTCAAGGCAGAGCATCAAGTAGGAGCACATAATGGACTAAGCCCACTCGCCACAGACCAGGGAATAGAGAGAGAGGAAGAGACTGGGGTCCCAGAGCCTCTACTGGGAGAATGCCCCAGTGAACCAAGGACTTCCCCCTAGGCCCCTTCTTCTAAAGGTCCACAGCACCTCCCAGTAGTGCCACCCTGGAGACCAAGCCTTAACACAGAAGCCTGTGGGCACATTTAGCACCCAAGCCATCATACTAGGGAGCTGGACACTGCTTTCCATATCAGGGTGAGGACAGTGGACCTCTGCACCTCTGTTACCTGTGGGTTCAGAGGCCAGCCGTGTGGAGTAGTGGAGCATTTTCTTTCTAGAGGTAGCAGATTGCCCTGGGGAGATACGTGCTGTGATGAGTGGTGATGGAGCAGAGGGGCAAGGGTGGCTCTGAGTTCCCCGCTGTTCACCTCCGTGTAAAGGCAGGGCCACTGTCCTCGCTCATGTGCGTCTCCCTGTTGCGCTTCCCAGTTGCAGTATGGGGACAGCAAAGACAACCCTCTCAAGTACTGGCTTTATAAGGAGGGTGGTGAAAGAAGGCACAGGAAGCCACGGGAAGCAGATCGAGAGAGGAAACACCGAGAAAAAAGCAGCACACGGGAGAAAAAAGAAAGACATTCAAAAGAAAAGAGCAGCGCGTTCTCTGACAAAGAAGGGGAAGAAAGACATAAAGAGAAACCACACAAAGAAGCCTTTCATTTTGACGAGAGGCACCGAAGCAGCATGGATAAAAAAGAGAGACTGTGGAAAGAAGAGCACAGGAAAAGGGAGTCCAAGGTATGATCTTGGTGCTCGGTGGGGTCCCCAGTCGTCCGAGTCCGTGTGAGTGGCGGCTCTGGAGGAAGTCGGACCTGTCACGGGGATGCCTGAGAGTGGGCTTGGAGAAGTGTGGCTAATTGTGTACTGCTCTATTTTGCCTTTTAGGAATCATGAATGCAAGTCTTTCGATTATGGTATCAGAATACTTTGGCCAGATTTGGAAATCTATTGTGAAAGTTTAAATTTAACATTCAAAAGGAAGCTGGCAGCTGGGTATGGTGGTGTACCCTGTGATCCCAACCACTGGGAGGCCAAGGAAGGAGAGTCACAGGTTCAAGGCCAGCCTCAGCAACTTGGTGAGGCCCTAGGCAATTTAACAAGAAGACCCTATCTCAAAATAAAAAACAAAAAGGGCTGGGGATGTGGCTTAATGACTAGGCATCCCTGGGTTCAATTCCCAGCACCAAAAACAGAAAAAAAAAAGCTGATATTTTTAAGGCAAAAAAGAAGTGAATAATTATGAAGCAGTTATTGTCAACCAGAATCGGTGGTATAAATCTGCTAAAAACCAAGACAGATGAAACTATAAAGCAAGCACTGGGTTCCTTCCATGTATGAGAGCTTCACCTCTGCAGTTGCTCACTGTTTCCCTAGACACACCTTGGTCCCACCTCTTCTTACGTGTGTGCTCTCTTCCTGCAGAGTCTGAAGCAGATGGGATTCAGTTGTCATGTTTCTTTCTTTTTTTTTTTTTAGTTGTAGGTGGACACAGTACCTTTATTTCACCTATTTGTAGGTGATGCCTCATGTATGCTAGGTGAGCGAGCGTGCTACTGCTGAGCCGCAAGCCCACCCCTGGATTGTCATGTTTCTTGGTGTGCATCTGGTCAGGAAGCCCAGGTGGTACCGAGCCGGGGGAACACTCCAACCCTCTGAGCCACGGTGGGGTAGCTGAGGGCCTGGATTGGAACCAGGAGCGTCTGAGCGGGACGCATTTGTGGTAGGGATGGCCTTCAGCTGGTCAGCCCTTAGTACTGCTGTGTCACACGTCAGTCCCCGGCCTGCGTTGCCCTCACCCAAGGCCTTCCTCCCTGTGCGAGCTCCACAGCCCTCCTTGTGGATCAGAACACTGGTCCTGCTCCCCACGCTCTGAGAGAGCACTGTTTACCTGTGCGGTGCCTAAAGCCCATGCCTTCCCTACCCCCCCCCCCCGTCACCCCTCTAAGCCCCTTGCCAGAAAGCCAAGTGGGGCAGCTGCTGAGGCATAGCCTCAGGACAGCTTGCAGTCTGTGTTTAAAAGCTCTTTCCCTGGATCACAACTTTTATTGTTTCCCCCGACATTTTATTATGAATGTATTTATACATATAGCAAAGCTGACAGAATCTGACAGAGAATGCCCACATACCCATGTTAGATTCCAGCACAGACTTTGTTTTTTGAACTTGCGTACTGTTCATGCCCTAATAAGTTATTTGAAATGACTGCTTGGCTGGTGTTTATTTAATTCTGCCCCAGAAACACCTTTCTGGATATGTCTTAATACGTGTATTTGGCTTTTATAAAGGTGGGTGCAGAAGTGGTCCATTAGGAACATTATTCTGCATTTTTACTAAATCACTGCCTTTAAAAGTAGTTCCAGTTGGGCTTGGTGGTGCACGCCTCTAACCCCAGCATCTTAGGAGGCTGAGGCAGGAGGGTTGCAAGTTCAAAGCCAGCCTCAGCAACTTAATGAAAGCCCTAAGCAACTTAGTGAGGCCCCTGTCTCAAAATAAAAAATAAAAAGGGCTGGGGATGTGGCTCAGTGGTTAAGTGCTTCTGGGTTCAATCCCTGGTACCAAAAAAAAAAAAAAAAATCCCTAAAAAACAACAAAAAAAACCTAGATCCAGATGTTTCCGATGACTGACAAACTTCCTTTTTTAGACTGTAGTAGAGTTGCTGCTGTGTGACCGGCCTTGTTCTAGGCACTGAGATTACAGCTGTGAACCGTAATGTGGTGGTGAGGCTTGAACCCAGTGCTTCTGTTCTCTAATTAGAGAACCCGTGGGATGAGCACATGTGCAGTTTGACATCAGGGGTGGTACTGAGCATTTATAATCAATGTTTTTCTTTGTGGAGACTTGCAGGTACTCAGAAGATGCTTTTTAACCTTGTTTCTGTTAGAGTAGTATTTTGTGTCCTAGGGGCATTCTGAGTAACTGTACCTGGATAACAGATATAAGTCAGAACTGTTCCCAAGAGTGTGTTCTCCTTGGTCACTGCTCTCTTCCCGTTGATGGCGGTGTTTTTCAGTGCTGGGAATTGAACCCAAGGCATGTGCGGTATCACGGAGCTTCATACATGCCATCCCTTTTTTTCTGAAATGTTTATTTTGAGACAGGGTTCTCTAATTTGCCCAAACTGGCCTTGAACTTGTGATTCTCCTGCAAGGACTCCCAACTAGTAGGGATTACAGGCGTGCCCCACCACACCTCGCCCTGTATAATTTTTTGTCCATTATTTTAATTAAATCATGTGTCTTTTATCGTAAACATTATACAGTTATCAATTAGAGATGTGGTGTGGTTAAGCTGATGAATGTGACAAGTGTTTTCCTAAAGTCCTAAAGTCATTAGCCTCTTCTGGGACCCTATCTGCTGTGCTTTTATTCTTTTGAAGGTCAGATCATGCTCCTTTCTGCTCTTGGTAGTAGCGGCTTTGACCATCCGTTGTAAGTTTCTGTTTCTAGTCCAGAACTACAGAGCCCTAGTCCTGAGGGACCAGGTGGCAAGGCCACAGGAGTTGGACAGTGAATTGCTGAGCCCTGTCCAGCTCTGCCTGTGAGGCCACCAGGGTCAGCAGTGTGGTCCTCCTCTGGGTGTCATAGAAGTGGAGGTAGTGGAGGTTGAAGCACCTGCCATCACTGGCCTTGGGACCTCTCACCTGGCCCCAGGTGCAGTACTGGCTGGCAATAGTCCAGGTCAGGACCCTCTAGCACTGCTCCTGTCTGTCCACCCCCAGGCTTAATTGTTCTAATCCAGTTGGTCAGTTTCCTCCTCTTCCTCCTGCTGTCTGCCCAGTTGCAGGTCTCGCCGTGTTCCTGTTGAGCTCTACACATCGCATTCTTTTCCCTGCCTCTGTTCCGTAGACTATGACAGACTGTTCTGTTAAATGTGTAATTATATTATCATTAAATTTTTTTAATATTTATTTTTTAGTTGTAACTAGACACAATATCTTTATTTTATGTGTTGCTGAGGATCGAACCCAGGCCCTCGTACATGCTAGGTGAAGGCTCTACCTCTGAGCCACAGCCTCAGCCCCTATATTATTATTAATTTTAGAAATATTTTTAAATACAGAAAAGCATAAAAAAATACGAATTACCCTGTTTGGTGTGTGAGCCCTAACCGCCTGTTCCTGAGCATGGATGGGCTGCAGTCACGCGGCTCCTTTCTCTTTGTTGTGGGAAACACTTAATACAGGAATATAGGTTTTTTCATATTTTTTATTGGCGCGTTATAGTTGTCCCTAGTGGTGGGACTTGTCATTATGTGTTTGTTTATTTCTCCACACAATATAAAAATATAATTGGCCAGTATCCTTCCCAGAATTCCCTCTTCCCTCTCCTCCTGCCACCCCCTGGCCTGCAGATCTCCCTTTGATTATTCATGAGATTCCTCTTCTTTTCCTTTTTCCTCTCTAGCTTCCACATATGAGAGAAGGCATATGACCTGTGGCCTTCTAAGTTTGGCTTATTTTGCTTAATGTGGTGTTCCCATCCGTTTTCCTGCAGATGACATGATTTAGTTTTCTTATGGCTGAGTCAAACTCCACTGTGTGTATACTGCACATTTTCCTTATCCATCTGTTGATGGACACCTCGGCTGGTTCCGTGGTTTGGCTTTTGTGAATTGTGCTGCCGTAAACATTGGTATGCATGTGTCACTGGAGTATGACTTTAATTCTTTAGGCTAAACACCGGGGAATGGGTCGAGGTGGGTCAGATGGTGCTCCCATGCCTGGTCTTTTGAAGAACCTCCACACTGATTTCCATGTGGCCGTACTAATTTACAATCCCACAACAGTGGAAAAGTGATCCCTTTCCCCCACATCCTCTTCCCATTTGTTGTCTAATGTGGGGTGCCGTCTACGACCCGTGCAGACAGCTAACTAAAGTCACCTGAGGAAAAGTCCCAAGGCATCAGAATAAAACACAGACACCCAGTTTACCTTTAAATCAAGCTCCAGGTGGGTTCCTCTGCCCTCGGCCTCAAGCTCCCCAGATGGGAGAGTGAGGAATCACACGAGAGGCTGGCGAGAGAGAAAGCCGAGCACGTTCTGAATGGACTTTTATTAGGGGACTCTAAATTCTTAGAAATTTCCATCCAATGAAGGTGAAGCCGGGCGGGGTCACAAGGACAGGTGAGGTAATTGGATCCTTGGGGATATGGGAAAGCACACCCATGCACAGAGACACAGTGGCTCAACCCTAAAGATTGGGGCTATCATCTGGTTACCTAGGCAACCAGATCACAGAGTGACCGAGGAAGCCACAGCAATGAGAAGAGGAGAGGAACGCAGTCACGTGCTAGTTTGGCCTCCCACAATGGGGGTAGTTAGTGATCATCTAAAGGGGCTGCAGTGTAGCTCAGTGGTGGAGCACTTGTCTGGCACACAGGAGACCCTGGGTCCAATCCCCAGCATTGCAAACACAACAAAACCAAGAAGGGAATAGCCTGTGGTCCCAGGTACCGGGGAGCCTGAGGCAGTAGGATCCCAACTTCAAGTTCAACCTAGGCAACTTAATGAAACTCTTTCTCAAAATTAAAAAAAAAAAAAATGTAAAGTACTGGAGATGTAGAGCACGCCTGGGTTGAGTCATCAGTACTGCAAAATAAAAACCCAAATCCAAACCGTCTGATGTTCCGTATGTGGTCAGAAGCTCATCTGTTCAACAAGGCGCCTAACACTGAATCCTAAGATCATGAACATACTTGCTATTATGAATTATTCTGTGATGAGCAAGTTGAAATCTCACTACAGTCTTTGGTTGCTTTCCAGTTTAAGCGTAAGTGCTGCTGAAGCAAGCACTCTGTGCCTATTCTCTGACAGTTTTCTTAGAGGTCCAAGCAAGCCTGGTATTGTTGACTCTTTTGAAGCTTTTGTACAGGTTGCCTGTGCTTCCCAAGGACCATTCCCAGGGCTCTTGCCTTCCTTCACTCCAGGGGCGCCCTTCCCCCAGCTGCCTCCTCCTGCGTGTTGCGCTTCAGACGAGGCTCTTTCCAAATATCCACTGTGTATATTGATTTATAATCTTAGAGTTTCAGTTTTATTTCAAAATATTCATTTAATTCGAGAGAAGGTTGCTTAAATTTTCGTGTGTGCTGTGCTGGGGATTGAACTGAGGACCTTGTGCAGGCTAGGCAGATGCTGTACCACTGGGCCACACCCCTCCCCTTCACAGTTTCATTCTGTGGGTAGTGGATCTGTGGAATAGGCATAGTCTGTTTGCCTCAGAATTCACAGTTTTAAGTAGTCTGAGGAACTTGTCAGATTAATTGGTACATACTATGTTACTTATGTGAAATGGATGGCCTTCTCACTTTCACTTACTGAGCTGACGTATAATCACCTTGTCCAATACACTGTCTTAAAATTTGCCTGCATTAGTTTTCTAATTTACTCAAAATAGCTAGTAAATAGTCATTTTGAAATAAGTTCCAAGGAGGGTTTGAGTGTGTGCTTGTGTTATGGGGGTGGTCACACGCCATGCACGGTGACGTGGCTCTTAATGGGTGTGCACTCTTCCTCTCTTGACAGAATGGTGAACCCAGAAGCCGAGGAACAAGTCTGAGAAGAGATGGGACTGGCAACCAGTAAGGAGATGTATATTGACTGTCAAGTGAGAAGCAGTTCTCATGGAATGCTTTAAAATGAGTTTTTCTTATTAGATTTAATTACACCTGGTAAATTGGAATAAATTATAGTTAAACTTTACTTTCTCTAGATTTAACCCCTCCGAATCATATTTTAGGCATACTAAGGGAGCCTGGACATAACTTGCTATAGTCATATTTTGATTTTTTAAGTATTTACTCATATAAATTTTTTTTCTTTATTCTGTTTTCTGTTTTTTTAGTGTTGGGGATGGAACTGAGGAGTGCTTTACCACTGAACTGTACCCTCAGTCCTTTTTTTTTTTTTTAAATTTAGTTGTCAATGGATCTTTTATTTATATGTGGTGCTGGGGATCGAACTTAGGGCCTCACATATGCCAGGCAAACGCTCTACCACTGAGCCACTACTCCAGCCCCCCTCCGTCTTTTTGTATTTTTTGTTTTGAGGCAAGTCTTGCTAAGTTGCCCATCCTGGCATGAAACTTTGCAGTCCTCCTGCCTCAGCCTCCCAAGTCTCTGGGATTACTGGCATGCACCACCACACCCAGCTGCTCAAGTCTGGTGTTGAGTTGGTGTGAATCTGCATTGTAAAAACTAAGAATCAGTTTAAAATCTGATTCATTTTAGGCCCTGGCTAACATTATAAAATATCATTAAAAATTAGGCCAGGTGTGGTGGTGCATGCCTGTAATCCCAGCAGCCTGGGAGGCTGAGGCAGGAGGACTGCAAGTTCAAAGCCAGCCTCAGTAACTTAGTGAGGCCCAAAGCAACTTAGCAACACCTTGTCTCAAAATAAGCATAAAAAGGAAAGGGCTGGTGATCTGACTCAGTGGGTAAGTACACCTGGGTTCAATCCCTATCCCCCCTCCCCCCCCCAAAAGTAAAATATTTTATTATAAACATTTAATGTGGAAATATAAATATTGTTATATTACACATAAAATAATTTTCAGGACTGACTGAAAATTATAGAAAGTTTCAAGATTTGTAAAGGATATAAATTTGCATACACAAGTTTGTTAAAATGCGGAGATTCTGCATCTGCTGAGGTGTTTTCTAGCTGGAGCTGCTGCTGACATAGTGAAATGTGAGAGGATGGGAGCCTGCATGGTGCCCGCCCACAGCTCTCCCCGGTGGTGACTGGGGCCTTCTCTGGGACGCAGCGGCTTCAGGGTCTGGGTGCCCTCCTCTCACAGCCTGTTTGATGGGTTGCGCTTTCTTTCCAGGCATTTGGAGAGTGCAGCGAGGAGCAGTGGAAGGGAGAGGGATTCGCGGGGGAAGGTAAGACCCTCAGCACCACCGGGGTGTGCGCACAGTCAGCTGCTGTCCACGTGTGGTTCCCCCAGAATGCAAGAAGCAACAGCCCATGAGTGTGAGGGGAACCGTTCCCAGGAGAGGCTGTGGGAGCAGCTGTTTGGCTGCTGTGACTAAAGGACCCAGCAGCCCAGCTGTAAAGGAGGAAGAGTTTATCTGGGGCTCATGTTTCAGAGGTGTCAGTCCGTGGGCAGCCGGCTCTGTTCCTCAGAACTCGAGGTGAGGCAGGCCAACCTGGTGGAGAGTGTGGCAGAGGGAGAGTCTCCACTGTGCAGATTCAGTATAGACCGCCAAGCCACTCCTCCCAGTCCCCGCTTCAGTCACCACCCAGGAAATCCCACCAGTGATGGGGTTAAGGCTCTCACAACCCAGTGGTTTCTCCTCTGAACCTTCTTGCGACTTCTCACGTCAGCTTTTGTCTCAGGCCCGTTCTGCCAGACCTGAGCGTGGCGCTTACTTGTGCCTGTCAGGCGTGGTGGGCCGGCCGCAAGGAAGGGAAGGCCCGAGGTGAGGGGTCAGGCAGTCCCATCCTGAAGCATGCTTGCTCACCGTGCCCTTTGTCGGGTCTCACCGTTCCTCTGGACAGCAGAGCAGGGATGCATGCCATTTAACGGGAAATGTGCACTCTCCCCTGCTGGCATCCGCGGTCCTGGTGAGGCCGTCTTGCTTGTGCAATGGGAGACGGTGGCTGGGTTGTGTCCACACTCGGGCACCAGAGCCTCGCTCATCTTGGGAGCAGGGAGGCCTGCACGGCCCCCTGCAGGAGGAGGGAGTGCGAGCCTTCGGAGCACTGTGCTGCAGGAGACTGCCGGAGAGCGGCGGACCTCAGCAGAGCATCGCCCTTGCGTGGTCCAGGCACCGTGCGTGGTGAGGCTCAGACGAGGGGCTGATATTTCTCAGAAATAGAGGTGAAGCCGGGCGGAGGGGGATGTGTGGGGAGATAGCCAGTGCCTCACTAGAGGGTCCTTCTTGCTGCCCAGGAGGGTGTAAGCCACCAGAGAAGGTCAGTCAGAAACAATTAGTGGAGAACAAAAGACACAGAGTCAGACTTATAACTGTGAAGCAGAGCGCCTGATAGACCCACTCCACACAGGAGCTGGAGCTGGACATTAAGAAATGGCTCCCATGGTCTATTTAAGGGGGTACCTCAAAGGCAGGGGTGCCTTTCAGGGCTGGAGTCTGGCTTCCTGATGTCTTGCAGTCACCAGGATGATTGGCATCTTAGCAGGTCACCCCCGTCTCTGAGAGGCAGTGCGACTACAGCAGGTCACCCATCTCCGGTAGTTGTGGGACCAGGCAGAGCTGAGTAGAGATTCACAGGTATTTGGGTGATCTCACCCTGTGGGATGCCACGGGAAGTCCCCAAACACCAGACGTTCTGATTCCAAGGCTGCAGTCCCAATGAAGTCCACGCAGCCCACAGATGGCTCTCGACAGGATGCTGGTGCCTCGTACAGGAGAAGGGTGGATGCAGGGGGCTCCAGGCCCTGCCTAGAGCTCTGGGAGGTGAGGTGGGAGGAGGCTGGGCCCAGGGACACCTGGATGGTGGCACACGCGTCATTGTCTTGTCCCCAGCGTGGTTGAGGCTCTGCAGGAAGCGAGGGGTCTGTCCCAGACCCCACCTCTCCCTCAGGCCCTTGGACACAGTGGGCTTGGGCCCAGAGGAGAGGGTGTGCCCCAGCTCTGGTCCCACACTCCTGTCAGTCAGCAGGTGCAGGCGGAGGTGACAGGTGCAGTGTGAGTGTGGTGTGCCCAGAGGACCGTGTCTGTCTGTTGTGAGATCTAATGTTTTTAGAGCAACTTGAAGTTTACAGAAAAATTGAAAGGAAGGTACAGAGAGTCCCCTTGTATTCCTGCCCCCATGCAAGCATAGCCTCCGTCACTGTGGCATCCCCTACTAGAAGGGTACCTCTGTCGCACCAATGAGCCTGTGCTGACAGGTCACGGTCACTCGAGTCTGTGGTGTACACTGGGGCTCAGTCTTGGTGCAGTGAAATAGGGGTCAGAGGGCTGGGGCTGGACAGATATTATGCCCATCTACAACTAAAAAATATTTTTAAAAAAATTTAAAAAAGAAAGAAATAGGGGTCAAACGCACAGCAACGTGTCCTTAGGAAGGCCCTGCTGTGGCACACACGCTCCCCACCTTTTGTGTCCGGCTGAAGAGAACGTCCATCTTGATGAAGTGGCTACTCCTCTCTCCACCCATAATTGCCACCGTCACCCAGTTTGCAGAGGTGGTTCGACTGTCTATTGGGAACCACGGGACTGTGACCCCGATCTCCGTCTTCCATTTCCCTGTCTGCTCCATGTCCTGATGTATGTCCTGCAAGGCCCAGAGCATGGGGGGACAGTGCCCTCCTGCTGGCCACCTCTCCTTTGGCCTGTTCCCCAGCTTTTAAAAATGTAAAGTCCCATATTGAGATGTTAACCACAGAACACTAGGCAGTCGGGTTGGAAATAAGGATCTGTCTTCAAAATGCCCCCGACCGCTCTATGGCGGTAATGATCTTTGTATATGTAGAGTCAGTTTGCCTGTATCTACAGAATATCTATGGCTTCTCATTCTTCTGGGTATATGCGATGTAGAGTCCACCAGTCGTGCAGTTATGTATGTACATAGAGTAATGATGTCTGACTCCATCTGTTATCCTCCGGTCCTCGTACCCCTCCTCTCCCCAACTCCCCACCACCTAATCTAAGGTAACTAGTCTTCCCTAATGCTCTGCCCTCTGTGAATCAGCATCTGCATATCCGAGAAAACATTCGGCCTTTGGCTTTTGGGGATTGGCTTATTTCACTTGGAATGATATTTTCCAGCTCCATCCATTTACCAGCAAATGCCATCATTTCATTCTTCTTTGTGGCTGAGTAATATTCCATTGTGTGTGTGTGTGTGTATCACATTTTTTTAATCCACTCATCTGTTGAAGGACACCTACGTGGTTGCATAGTTTAGATATTGTACGTTGAGCTGCTATGAACATTAATGTGGCTGCTGATTTTAATTCCTTTGGGTATATGCCAAGGAGTGGGATAACTGAGTCAAATGGTGGTTCCGTTCCAAGTTTTCTGAGGTGTCTCCATAGCACTTCCATAATAGTTGCACCAACTTTCCCACCACCTTGCTGGGATTTTGAATTTCACTGATTCTGTATGTGAAGTTGGAAGAACTGACATCTTGACAATATTGAGTCGTCGTCGTCACCTTTTTTTTTTTTTTGTACTGGGGATTAAACCCAGGGGCTCTCTACCGGAGAGCTACATCCCCAAACCCTTAAAATGCCTTTGCGTTTGGGGACAAGGTCTGACTAAACTGCCCAGGCAGCTCACGTTGGTGGTCCCCTCGCCTCGGCCTCCCACTCCTGGTGGCACAGGCCGCCCTGCTGCAGCCTGAGCAGACTGGCGCTGTCACCGAGAACGAAGCTCGCTTCTTCTCAGTGGTGTCCCTTCTTCCTGTGCTTGTGCTGTGGAGTCGGGGTCAGGAGAAGCGTGTCTTGTTCCTGACTCTGAGGGGACCGGGGTTCCTCACCATGGTGAGTGACGTCAGCTGCAGATGCTCTTCACCCAGTCCAGCCCTAGTTTGCTGAGAATTCTGTCAGGAATGGTGCTGGGGCTTGTCGGGTGCTTTTTCTGCATCTGTTGGGACATCATACAATTTTTTCCCTTTTAATCTGTTGATGGAATGGAATGTATTGATCTTTGGATGTTGATCCAGACAAGTCCTGGCCAGTCGTGGAGTGGGAGTCTTTATACGTGATCTGTTACACTTGGCACGGGTCTGTTGAGGATTTTGGCTCTGTCATACTGGGGTTGGTGTTGGTGCTAACGTGTGTCTGGTTTGGTGTTACTGTAGGGTGGCCTCCGTGAATGAGCATGGCCGGTCCTCTGGAAGAGGTTGGGGGGGTCATAGCGTGTCTTCGTTGACGCAGGCCAGAGATCCTGTGGCCTCTAGCCCTAGCTGGGCCTGGTGCTCTGTGTTCCAGGAGGCCTCTGGCTGCTGAGTCAGTTTCCTTCATGGACCTGGGCTTATTCAGGTCATCTCTTTCTTCTGGTGTGAGTTTGGCGGCCTGTGTCCTTCAAGAGATCAGTCCGTTTACCTACGTTATCGTGCTGTGGCCTAAATTGTTCATAGAGTTGGTTGGTCATCCTTTAGTTATTTTAAAATTTTTTTGGGTGGTACAGAGGATTGAACTCCAGGCTTCACATACGCTAGGCACTAAGTACTCTTCCACTGAGCTACGTCCCCGGCTGTTTAAAAACATTTTTTTTTTTTTTTGAGACGGCATCTTACCATATTGCCCAGACTGGCCCTAAACTTGTGATCATCCTGCCTCAGCTTCCCAAGTTGCTGGAATCACAGTTGTATACCGTGGTGCCTGGCTCTTGGTCATCCTTTTGATGCCCATGGGAGCTGTAGTTATATCCTTTCTTTTGTTTGATTTTGGTCCTCTCTTTTCCCCTCATTATCTTGGCTAGAAGCTTTTCAATTTATCAATACTTAAAACAAACAAACAGACAGCATCTGGTTCCAAGAAATTCCTCATCAGTCTCTTAGTCTTAGGGGCATAAATGGAGGGTCTCTCTGTGGATAACTAGCGATCTCCTGGCGGTTGCTGCGTGGCATCTTGCTGGGTGGCATGGTGACAGGCCACACTTGGACGGGTAGGTGGCATGAGCGAGCCCTTGGCCAGCTCTGTGAGCTCCAGGCTGCACCTGCCTGTCCTCTGAGAGTTCTGCCCCTCCCTGCACTCGCAGTCCCGGCCACCAGCTTGCGGCCTCCCTCGCTCCTGTAAGTTTGCTTTCTCTGTTGTCTGCACATTGGTTGATGGCAAGGGAACATCTCTCGCTCCCCAGGGTCCCCATAGAGCCCTGTGGTTTCTAGTCCTACCTCCAGGCCCCGGAGGGCTCCCTCAGGCTCCCTGCCACCTCCGGTTGCACTTGTGGCTCCTCTGACCTGCTGCTGTAGGCGTGAGATGTCGAGAGCCTCAGCTGTTAGGCGGTGGGGCTGCTCTGACGTGAACATGGATGTGGTGTGGTCAGCTTTCCTAGCAGGGTGCCCCTGAACTCCATGTAATCTAGAGGGGATGCTTGAGGACAGTGCGTGCCCTGTCGCAGGTGAGAAGTAGGGCCAGCCCGAGAGAGATGCTGGGTCTCATAGTCAGGCAGGGTCAGGCCTACTCCTCTGTCTGTTCCTCTCAGTGCAGGTGCGATTAGCACCGCTTAGTAGGGATGCATTTGGACACAGATAGCTGCACACTGAGGGTGTTTGCATAATCCATTTTTCCTCATTAGAATTAGACGTGTCCGGGAAATGCTGTGTTTCCTAAGTCACACTTACACTAGCCATTTTCTTTTTTGGGTCATACCTATAAATTAACAAGTGCATATCTTTCTTTCTTCCTCTTGAAATTTCTCTTTGGGTAGATCTTTTTTTGAATTTGTTTTTAAATGGTGTATAAAACATAAAGATTGTTCATGTTAGTGGGGTATAGATAGTATTCATCATGTGTGTACAGTGCATACTGTTTAGATCAGGTTAAACCTACCTGTCTCAAACATTTATCATTTTCTTTTGGTGAAAACTTTAAAAATTCTTTTCTCTAGCTTTGTGAAATGTACAGTATGTTATTGTTATAGGTATATGCATTATAAGCATTCAGAGTCAGGTGCTGCTAGTCTTATAAATACGTACATATCTAAGTTGGCAACATCAAATGCATCTCAGGAAGCGTGTATTTTCCACTTGTTCACAATGTTCACGTTTGTGATTGAATGTTTTTGTTTCATGTTTAATTTTTCATGTCTAGGAAATTGAAAGGGAAGACATGGATTTAGCAAATGCTGAGGCTGATGAATATACAGTTGGTTTTGAAGATGATTTTGAAGTAAGTATAAAAGTTAAAATTTCTCTCAGCTTATGATTTGTTCTGAAAAATCACCTTCTGTGTAATAATTTCACATCCTTTCTGTCTTCTTAGTACTCTTAGATGTCCGTGTCTGATAAAGTCTGACTTGGGTCGAGCTGTTCCCCATAAAAAGCTTGTCAACGCTTCTCCAGTGCTTGACAAAATGATGGGACTGAAGGGCTTTAAAGTCAGTCCACCCTTCAGTGCACTGTGACCAGACGTTTGTATGTGACTGTCCCTGTACACTCACTTTCCCATTCTCAGGACAAATTCCTAAACACACAAGGGCCAGTTATCTTCCCTTACATTGACAATGAATATAAAAAAAAAAATAAATCATAAAAGCGATCACATTTGCAACAGCATCAGAAAGAATGAAACACTTGGGAATAAACTCACCCAAGAAGCTGTAGGACTCGCAAATTGAAAACTACCACAGCTTGTTAAGGCATGTTAAGGACCTCGCTCCAGGGACCCGGGTGTGTGGGGGGAACGTCCAGGTGGCGGGGGTGTGGCCCACTGCTGAGCAGTTCGTCTTCGGGACAAGTGCAGTAGTACGGACAGATTGATGATCTAACGATGTCAACATTAGTGAACTATGAAGTCTTTCTTAGCTGTGATAAGGACTCTGCCTGTCTTAGACTGTCACGCTTTGTTCTGTGTGAGTGTTACTTAACTCTGTTGTCTTAAGGGTCCCAAACCGTTGTCCTTGTTTGTAGGACTATGAAGATGACTTTGAGGTTTGTGATGGAGATGATGATAGCAGCAACGAGCCTGAGTCAACAGAAAAACCGGAAGAACTTCCTTTAGCCCAAAAAAGGGAGATACAAGAAATTCAGAAAGCCATCTACGCAGAAAACGAGAGGCTCGGGGAGCTGTCCTCAGAGCTGCTGCGGAAGCAGGGGCTGGCGGAGGGCCCCGGGGACCCCCGCACAGGTGTGTGAACGGTGGCACTGCGGGGCCGCTCTCAGCCGCTGGCCAACCTTCAGGCCCTCCTTCCAGCGGTGGGCAGACACCCGGCACTGCAGTCCCACCACGGTTGTGCCCTGGCTCTTGGTGCTTGGGGCCGCTCAGGCATGAACCTCATGTGGCGAGGGTCTTTCTGTGAGAGGCTGTAGGCCCCATGGTGCTGGTGCTAGGCAGGGCTGGCTGTGGTGGGTCAGCTGTCCAGCAGCAGTGTGGCCTGCCCTCCGGCCTCCTGCTGGTCTGCCTGCAGTGCTCTCCCCTTCCTGGGGACGTCCTCCTCTGTTCCTGCAGGGGAAATCAGGGCTGTCACAGGAGGCCAGCATCAGAGCGCCACGAAGGCCAGGTGCCGCTCAGGGGAGGCAGTGGGAAGCTGGCTTCTGACCAGGGGTTTTCTTTATGAAATCAGGACTGTTTACCCTGGGCTCGTGGCCTCTGGATGTGGCAAGTTATGAGAACAGGAGAGGGTCTCACTGTGTCGCCCAGGCTGGCCTAGAATGTGACACCCTCCCACCTCTGCCTCGTAGGAGCTGGGATGGCAGGCGCGCCTCACTGGCTCCCCACAGAGCTCAGAGCACTCATCCTGCAGCTGCAGATCCTGAGTGCCACTTGCAGTCACATGACTCTGGGTGTCACCTAACCTCTCTGTGCCTCGGTTTCCTGAAGGGTATCTGTAGTGAGGCCTTCTTTAAGGTCAGGCGGCCAACACGGGCACATGCTGGAGAGCACGAGCGCCCCACCAGCGCCGCGGAGTGTCAGTGCCGTGGGGCCTGGTGCTGGCTCTCTGTCATGGTATCCCCAGCTGTCAAAGTGGCCTGGTCTTGTGTGGATACCCTGCTGCACCCTGCGGCTAGTGTGGTTGTGAACCTCAGGTGACTTTTTGCAGTGCACTCGGGTTCATTGTGGTGCTTGGGAGCTCACACATCTGCAGGAGGTAACCCAGCTCCTCGGTCTCTGCACTGGGGTGTCTTCATTCTGTGATGTACACTTGTCTGCCACTTTCCTCATTTTCAGGACTGGTGGCCTCTCTCAGGCGTGCATGGGCTTTGCCCTTGGCACACCGCCTTCCCCAAACCCAGTGCCCTCACGGCCGTCCTATGCGGCAGGGAGACAACAGAGATGCAGTGTGGCACTTGTCGTCAGGAAGCTTGTTGTGACAGTGCTGGGACTGGCTCTGTGGTCTTCTGACCCCGAGGTGTGGCGTCCTCTGAGCCACACCCTCTGTCTCAAAGGCAGCAAGGAAAATGAGAGAATGTGTGGTCAAGGACACTGAGAGTTCTGGAAACTAAGACAGCAAGACGTTCATTCTGTTCTCGAAGGGGAATAAAAGACTGATGAAGATACGTTTGCCTGAACATGTGAACACGAGCGTGGGGTGGCTGCACACAGGAGGCCACGGGAACCCTTGAGGGAAGAGGCAGCTCCCATCAGGAAGGTGGTGGCTGGAGCTGGTCCTGCTGCGGACCTTTTCGCTCAGCCAGTCATTGGTCAGTCTGATCAATCTTTGGAAACTTTTGAAAGTCTTCTAGGCTCATACCCACATTCTTCTTTGATTTGCACTTGTTTTTAATTTATTTCCCATTTCCTTTAGTAGAGAGCAAGAGTCCCCCTCATTTGAGGGGGATGCCTTTTGAGACCCCCATGGGTGCCTGAAGTCACCCCATATGTAGTGCTTTCCCCCTATGCATACAGACCGATGATGAAGTTTGGTTTGCACATTAGGCACAGTAAGCGGTTAGCAGCATGAACAGTAACAGAACAACCGTTACCATACCCCGTGATAGAAGTTAAGTGGACATGTCTCTCAAAATACTGTCCTGTACTCACCCTAATCTGTGATTAGCTGAAGTGAGTGACGTTCCTTGACACAGCCCTGGGCCACATTGGTGTCAGGAGCGTGGTCTGCTTTGGGTGACGGCAGATCCTTGAGCCCTGATGATGCCGATGGCTGGGGAGCTCCACGGTTGACAGTTCTTTTTGCTGAACCCTTTGGAGAGCGCTGTAGTGGGAAGTGGTGGCCTCTTTCCTTTTAACTCACTGAGCCATTGCTGTGGGGGTTGGTGACCACTTGAGTGCTGCGTTGCGTGGGAGGACATAGTTCACAATCTCGTCCTTGAGTGTCCTGCCGTGTAAAGCACTTTAGTGAGTTTGGGTGACGTCCATGCTGCTGGTTCTGCTCCGTTTCTTCCTCCTCTTCCTCTGTACTTCCACGTCACTGCACGGTGGCAAATGCTTCTCCATCTCCTTGTCTTGCTGCATGAACAGTTCTCCTGACTTCGCAGCCGTTCCCAGGAAGCCTTTTAAAACATCCTCCACTTCACTCCCTAAGTTCTTCCAGGGAGTCTTCCAGCTCTGCCCCACTTCCAGAGTAGGGTCTGCATCACTTGCCAGTCAGAGGTGGTCCCACAGCAGGCACCGGGACGGGTGACATCTTGGTCAAGGGGCTGGAGCAGGTGGTGTCTGAGATGAAATAGAGCCTTGACCTTGTCATTTTCACAGCAAACAGATTCAGGATGACCAGGTGCACTGCCTGTCATTGATAAGGCTTTAAATTCCAACCCTTCCTGTCCGAGTAAAAGGGCAGCGGCGTCTTCCTTGGCAGGCAGTCTCGCCCGCAGTTTCCATGCTTTCAGTCCAAACCTGTCCCTGAATCATCCCTCAGGTGCAGCGAGTGAGTTGGTGCCCCTTGTTGCAGGGGACCCCTTGCTGAAGGCTTCACGGGCTTCAGGCTTCTGCTGCAGCTTGCTGCTGTCCTTGGAACATGTTCCTGTCTTCCACCCACAAGTATTTTAAACCTTTTCCATCTTAACTAGGCCCCTGGGATGCACTGTGGCTGTGACTTCTGCAGGTTGAGGTGTGACAGCAAAAGAAGCAGTACTCCTATTTCCTTCTTCACGTTTTTATGGACAGATTTGCTCTTCACACAGATCTAACAACTTGGCATGAGACTTGCTTTCCTAAAGTGGAGAAGAGTCTCCTTTTCACTTAAAGGGAGCACTTAAAGCTTCTCTTTTGCCAGAACCACTACTCTTGTGCTTTTGGATCATAGTAAGTAAAATAAAGGTCACTTGAAGACAAGCACCTTGACACCAAGATAGTCCATCTGATAACAGACAGCCATTCAGTGATGAGCGGGTGGGCAGTGCATACAGTGTGGATACTGTGCAGAGGGATGCTTCGTGCCAGGCAAGACAGTGTGAGATTTCATCCTGCCACAGTGAGAATAACATGTATTTTGAAATGTATGATTTACTTATTTTTGGAATTTTCTGTTTAATGTTTTCATACCATGGTTGACTGTGGGTAACTAAAACCTCAGAATGTAAAGGCACGATTAAGGGAGACTACTTTGTAATCTTCATTTATTATTATTTCAGAGTGGATGGGTGGGGTTGGGATAGAGGACTGTATCCTATATATGCTCTTAAATATTTGTAAAACTCTTAATGTGATTAGTATATACAATAGGTGACCAGTAAATTTTGCCTTGTCTGAAAGTTCTTGGTACAATAGGAAGGAATAGGCCTCTAGATGCCCACCTATGGAAGGCATTATCAGTGTGATATCAGCATCCAGCAAAGAGCTTATCGAATTGATCATCACGTGTGCTTCTGATTGTTTTACTCTTAATTTTTTCTTTTGCTTGAAGGAAATATTTCACTGTCACACAAATAACTTTTTCTTTTTTCTTGTGTAGATGTGAATACTTCCCCGTCCAGAGCCCCTGTTTGTGGGATTTTTGTGGACTTTGCTACAGCCTCGCACCGTCAGAAGAGCCGGATGCAGGCCCTTAAGCAGAAGTAGGTGGGCGGGGAGACGGTGGGGGTGCTGAGGGGCTTGGGGGACTTTGCAAGCAGAGCTTCCAGTTTATTTTCGGTGTGCCTGTTTGGGTGTGGGGGTGGTCTGCTCCACACCTCTGTGGTCTCTACTGGACCCTCAGCCTCAGCTTGTGGCTGACTGTTAGAAGGGCCCTGGAGTTCACGGTCTACTCTGGCTGACGCAGAATCCCAATCGCACATTTGTGAGCCTCAGGTCAGAACCCCGCTAAGCAGATGAGCCTGGTTTGTGTGGCCCTGCAACTTGGCGAGCCTCGCTCGCCTGAAGGAAGCCTGAGAGTGCATGTTCTTGACCTCCACTTCCAGATGCGAGAGTGCTACTCTCAGGAAATAGGTGTTACAACTTGTTTTTATTTTTATTTTTTTGAATCCACGGGCATTTAACCACTGAGCCATGTCCCCATCCCTTTTTTTGTATATATTTTCTTTAGCGACAGGATCTCACTGATTTGCTAAGTGCCTTGCTAAGTTGCCGAGGTTGGCTTTAAACGCCTGGTCCTCCTGCCTCGGCCTTCCCAGCTGTTGGGATTACAGGTGTGTGCTACCACGCCCAGCCTGAGGCTGGCTTTGAACTTGCAGTTCTCCTGCCTCAGCCTCCCAGGCCGCTGGGATCACAGACATATACCGCTGCGCCCAGCTACAGTTTATTTTTATAAGGAACCACTAGGTGCTGTGCTCCTCAGGTGTCACCCCAAATCCTTAGGGCCCATTTTACAGAGAAGAAATGAGGCTCAAGGTTAACAGCTCTTGAATTGTAGAGCTGAGTTTTGAACCCAGAGCTGCCAGGTATTGAAGTCCAACCTTGTAATTAATGTAAATTTATGAATTTGTAAAATTTCGAAATTTATATTCTGAAGTCAAGTCTATTGTATTAAACCTAAATGGGACTGAGAATAATGAAAAAATAATAATTTTTAAAAACGCAGGTCTATAAAAAGAGCATGCTTCAGGGACACTGCTACATCGATGTTCATAGCAGCACAATTCACAATAGCAAGACTGTGGAACCAACCTAGATGCCCATCAATGGATGAATGGATAAAAAAAATGTGGCATTTATACACAATGGAGTATTACTCTGCATTAAAAAATGACAAAATCATAGAATTTACAGGGAAATGGATGGCATTAGAGCAGATTATGCTAAGTGAAGCTAGCCAATCCCTAAAAAACAAATGCCAAATGTCTTCTTTGATATAAGGAGAGTAACTAAGAACAGAGTAGGGTCGAAGAGCATGAGAAGAAGATTAACATTAAATAGGGATGAGAGGTGGGAGGGAAAGGGAGAGAGAAGGGAAAATGCATGGAAATGGAAGGAGACCCTCAGGGTTATACAAAAGTACATACAAGCGGAAGTGAGGGGAAGGGGAAAAATAATATAAGGGGGACAAACGAATGTCAGTAGAGGGAGCAGAGAGAGAAGAGGGGAGGGGAGGGGAGGGGAGGGGAGGAGAGGGGAGGGGGGATAGTAGAGGATAGGAAAGGCAGCAGAATACAACAGACACTAGTATGGCAATATGTAAATCAGTGGATGTGTAACTGATGTGATTCTGCAATCTGTATATGGGGTAAAAATGGGAGCTCATAACCCACTTGAATCAAATTGTGAAATATGATATGTCAAGAACTATGTAATGTTTTGAACAGCCAACAATAAAAAATTAAAAAAAAAAAAAAAAAAAGATAAAAACGCAGGTCTAAAATTTACGTCACTTGCTCAGTGCACGGCCTTAGTAACATTCAATAGCTATTTGCTGAGTGAACACATAAATCATTAATAAAATAGCAGCTTCACCACAGTTTTGTTGCCCTTATATTCTGAGCCCCACTGAAGCTCCTGCTGTGTGGCTAAGCTTTTTTAAAAAACCTGATTCAAGTTGCATATGGGTTCAACACAGCTTTTCTAACTCATATGATCAAAACTATACAGTGTGTTGTCTGGACGCACATAAATATGAGATGAAATTTTATTTTGTAAAGTGAGAGGATGCGAGCTTGGTGGTTAGCAGGGCAGTTGCTGTGCCTGGGCAGCTGTAGGCTGGTGCATGGCTGGGTCTGGGTACAGGTCCTGGGAGGTCACATGCAACTTGATCCAGTCAGGAGAACAAAGCCACTGTAGGTGCTGCCCACAGGGAGGATATGAAGGCAGCTGGTGGCAGGTGCAGCAAGCTGCATGGCTTAGCAGGGGACCAGAGGGACCAAGAGCCCAGCAGCTTCAGGAGGCCACACACCTAGATTCATGCACCTTTACCGGGTCATTCTGACACCACTGACTGCCTCAGCCTCGGCCTGGCAGGACAGAAGTCAGGCCCTTGCCAGTTGGCTGCAGCTAGCCATAGACCCCTTTCATCCTCCCTGCCCCCCGATGTGTGTTCTCAGTGTAACTTTGTCTTATCTCCAATTTGTTTTAAAGGACACGAAGTACAAAACTACTTCGGCTTATCGACTTAGATTTCTCATTCACTTACTCTCTCTTGGATCTACCACCAGTAAATGAATACGACATGTATATCAGAAACTTCGGGAAAAAAAATACCAAGCAGGTTAGTATAAGATGTCTTAACTAAGGGCCAAGTGCAAGGCCTTAACCAAGGCCACATGCAAGGCCAGTGCAGCCTTTGCATGATTGTTGTTTATGCCATGATATACTTATTTTTGACACAAACACAAGACTTTTCTTTAATGAATTTTTCACACTAATTTTTACGCCTTGCCCTAGTGAATTTACTTGGACTTACCATGTATGTCATGACTTCTCGAAAACAACTTCAGCCTCATACTAAGTTGATTCCAGTTAGATCCAGAAATAGTAAGGGCTGGCAGGGTTTTGAAGGCAGATGTCCTATCTTCCATTTTTCCAGGTCCGTTATGGGTACTATCAGCCTTCACCTGGTCTATTGGGCAACCTCATTACAGCAGCAAGGCCACAGTGTGGCCCTAGGAAGCCGACAGCATGCATCCTGACTGGCAGCTCACTTACTGGGACCTTGAGCAGATTATCTAATTTTTCGCCCGTTCTCAACTAATCTCAAAGTGATTAGTAACACAAGTGCCTTTATTGAAGCATGGTACCTTTTTTTTAAAATTTTTTTAATTTTTATTTTTTTTTTAAGAGAGAGTGAGAGAGAGGGAGAGAGAGAGAGAATTTTTCAATATCCATTTTTTAGTTTTTGGCGGACACAACATCTTTGTTTGTATGTGGTGCTGAGAATCGAACCCCGGCCGCACGCATGCCAGGCGAGAGCGCTACCGCTTGAGCCACATCCCCAGCCCAGCATGGTACCTTTTTGAAATACAAAAATTATGCTTGGTTTTGCAAAGCCAGAACATTTTGAAGTATGTGTGTAGGCAAGGAAGTAGTATTTTCAAAATGAAGGCACATTGTTGGATGTGACATTTTGGAAACACTGTTGAAAATTAAACCTATGTTTATCAAATGTCTTGGACACAAGCAGCCTTTGCATGATTGTTGTTTATGCCATGATATACTCATTTTTGACACAAACACAAGACTTATTATCATCTTTTAAAAATCATAATTGTTATTTTCATCAAATGACAATTTGTTCTGAAATTGAGACCAAACATTAATTCCAACATACCTTTGTCTCTAAGGCATACATTCAGTATAATGAAGATAATGTTGAAAGAGACACTCAGACTGAAGATATAGAGACCAGGGATGTGTGGACCCAGCATCCAGGAGAAGGTGCCATTGTATATGGTAAAACTTTGTTATTAACTGTTGAATGTCTTAACAATCTTTTTGTTTTATTTTTACTTATTTTCTTTCTTTTTTGTTTTGAAACTTATTTCCTTTTTTGTTCCTTCTTATTATGTGTTTCTCTTTTGTATGGTTCTTGGTGTTAGACTATGGAAATACACAGTATTCTTTAAAAGAAATGGAATCAGCGAGGCAGTGACTGCATTGGAGCTGCTGACTGAGGAGGTTCAAACCTGAGCCTGTGTGGACCTGGGGAGGTGCAGTCCCGACCACTGCTCAGGACTGCACTGGGAAGCACCCACTCCACCTGGGCCTGTCGCTCCCTGCCCTTAGAATGTCACTCTTTAGGTGGTGTCTGCAGATATGTCCCTCAAGATAGACCAGAGGTCCCTGGAACACAGGGCTTGTGCTAGGTGCTGTGCAGCGGTTTACATGTGACATACATTATCGGTTGTTTGTTTTTCTTGAGGATTTTCTCATATGGCAGGGAATCATACTGCTCCCTTTCCTCAGGTAAACCCCGTTAAGAAAACAATGCAGGTAAGTTTCCTTTGTCTTAAACGCTTGAGACCATAAGTGCTTCAGGTTTTAGATTTTGAATTAGGGATGTTCACACACTTAGATAGTAAATTAATTCTTTTTCATGACTTTTCTTGAGATATTTATGTAAGGTTGAATTTATAGACTTCCCACAAACAATATACAGTTATTTCTAGAAAAAAAATTACTAAAGTATCTGCAGGATATAATGCAAAGTTTTCTGACTTTTCTTCAGGATTCTTACTATTCACCTGTAACATCTTGACTCAAAAGATTTGTAGGTATGACCACGTTATAGTCAATTGTATTGATTTGCTTCATCTGTTAGGTAGTAAAGAACGGGAATTCTGTGACACTACAGTTGTACCCAAGATTGACACTCCAAGGTTATCCAGCTTTCTCCGGGCAGCATGTCAGGTACACTCTATAGTATTTTCTATTCTATGTGCGAGTGCATAAAGTTGCATTAGAAACAAAGAAGCTACTGAAACCTTGGAGCTTTAATGGATTAGATACATCAGAATCAGGTATTCATTTTCAGGTATTGTTTTCTAACAAAATATTAGTGTTACATTTATTAAACCAACATGCAAAATGATGCCCTAAAGGTATTATATACCACTAGCAGTGCTATCTGTGTATCTGGATTCTGTATTTTAATAGTAGTTTCTTATATTTTAGAATAACTATAGACTAAGAACCCAAATATTAAGTTGGCAAAGCATGCATAAATCTAGGCTATTTGAAGATAATAAAACTCAAAATATTTTTAAACTCACTTTCCATAGGTTTAAAATATGTACCAAGGAAGGGAATAATATTGTAAAGCTCTGCACATCACTAGGGTCACCTCAGGGACATTATCTGGTTTGACATATCCTTCTCATCTCCTTAAGCCCCACCAACCTGATCAATAACAATCACAATCATCATAAATAGCCCTCCATAAACCTTTCTATATAACTCACTGAAGAAAAGGATTTTCTTAAAAGTTATTAGAAATAATTTCTAAAAACTAAAATAAGAAGTCAATCTTCAGATTTTCTCAGTTGTTTCATAAATTTATTATGTGTGATCGGAATTTAAATCAGAGCAGAGCTAAAGAACATGACATTGCTATTTTGGTTACATCACATCCATGACTCAAATGATGACTAAACACATGGTAGTTACTACATCACAGTGTCACTGCTATTTGAGAGGAGGGATTAAAACTGATGAAGTTTGACAGAATTTTTTTGTTACAATCTAATCCTTGGTCAGTGTAAATGTCTTGGGATTAAGACCTAGCCCTTGTCAACAGTGGGAGAGTGAGAAATGGAATGCATACAGAGTGAGAGGAAGAGGGTGGAGAGTCACCATGGATCATTCCTGATCCCACATGGCTCCTGTAACACTAGATCACCTGCAGCTAAAACAGTTGTCTCATTTCTAAAGAGAAAACCTTGCAGGTCTTACCTTCTCCATTCCCCTCAGTATTCACTGAACCTTCCACTTACTCCACGGCTTATGAAGAGTTCTCACCCAGCCCCCTTCCCCTCTCCATTCCCCTGGGTTCTCACCCAGCCCCCTTCCCCTCTCCATTCCCCTGGGTTCTCATGGATCCCTTTCCCCTCTCCATTCCCCTGGGTTCTCACCCAGCCCCCTTCCCCTCTCCATTCCCCTGGGTTCTCATGGATCCCCTTCCCCTCTCCATTCCCCTGGGTTCTCATGGATCCCCCTTCCCCTCTCCATTCCCCTGGGTTCTCATGGATCCCCCTTCCCCTCTCCATTCCCCTGGGTCCTCATGGATCCCCTTCCCCTCTCCATTCCCCTGGGTTCTCATGGATCCCCCTTCCCCTCTCCATTCCCCTGGGTTCTCACCCAGCCCCCTTCCCCTCTCCATTCCCCTGGGTCCTCATGGATCCCCCTTCCCCTCTCCATTCCCCTGGGTCCTCATGGATCCCCCTTCCCCTCTCCATTCCCCTGGGTCCTCATGGATCCCCCTTCCCCTCTCCATTCCCCTGGGTCCTCATGGATCCCCCTTCCCCTCTCCATTCCCCTGGGTTCTCATGGATCCCCCTTCCCCTCTCCATTCCCCTGGGTCCTCATGGAGCCCCCTTCCCCTCTCCATTCCCCTGGGTTCTCATGGATCCCCTTCCCCTCTCCATTCCCCTGGGTCCTCATGGATCCCCCTTCCCCTCTCCATTCCCCTGGGTTCTCATGGATCCCCCTTCCCCTCTCCATTCCCCTGGGTCCTCATGGATCCCCCTTCCCCTCTCCATTCCCCTGGGTCCTCATGGATCCCCCTTCCCCTCTCCATTCCCCTGGGTTCTCATGGATCCCCCTTCCCCTCTCCATTCCCCTGGGTTCTCATGGATCCCCTTCCCCTCTCCATTCCCCTGGGTTCTCACCCAGCCCCCTTCCCCTCTCCATTCCCCTGGGTTCTCATGGATCCCCTTCCCCTCTCCATTCCCCTGGGTTCTCATGCAGCCCCCTTCCCCTCTCCATTCCCCTGGGTCCTCATGGATCCCCTTCCCCTCTCCATTCCCCTGGGTTCTCATGGATCCCCCTTCCCCTCTCCATTCCCCTGGGTTCTCACCCAGCCCCCTTCCCCTCTCCATTCCCCTGGGTTCTCACCCAGCCCCCTTCCCCTCTCCATTCCCCTGGGTTCTCATGGATCCCCTTCCCCTCTCCATTCCCCTGGGTTCTCATGGATCCCCTTCCCCTCTCCATTCCCCTGGGTTCTCACCCAGCCCCCTTCCCCTCTCCATTCCCCTGGGTTCTCATGGATCCCCTTCCCCTCTCCATTCCCCTGGGTTCTCATGCAGCCCCCTTCCCCTCTCCATTCCCCTGGGTTCTCATGGATCCCCCTTCCCCTCTCCATTCCCCTGGGTTCTCATGGATTCCCTTCCCCTCTCCATTCCCCTGGGTTCTCATGGATCCCCCTTCCCCTCTCCATTCCCCTGGGTCCTCGTGGATCCCCTTCCCCTCTCCATTCCCCTGGGTCCTCATGGATCCCCTTCCCCTCTCCATTCCCCTGGGTCCTCATGGATCCCCCTTCCCCTCTCCATTCCCCTGGGTCCTCATGGATCCCCCTTCCCCTTTCCATTCCCCTGGGTCCTCATGGATCCCCTTCCCCTCTCCATTCCCCTGGGTCCTCATGGATCCCCCTTCCCCTCTCCATTCCCCTGGGTCCTCATGGATCCCCCTTCCCCTCTCCATTCCCCTGGGTCCTCATGGAGCCCCCTTCCCCTCTCCATTCCCCTGGGTTCTCCTGGATCCCCCTTCCCCTCTCCATTCCCCTGGGTCCTCATGGATCCCCCTTCCCCTCTCCATTCCCCTGGGTTCTCACCCAGCCCCCTTCCCCTCTCCATTCCCCTGGGTCCTCATGGATCCCCTTCCCCTCTCCATTCCCCTGGGTCCTCATGGATCCCCTTCCCCTCTCCATTCCCCTGGGTTCTCATGGAGCCCCCTTCCCCTCTCCATTCCCCTGGGTTCTCATGGATCCCCCTTCCCCTCTCCATTCCCCTGGGTCCTCATGGATCCCCCTTCCCCTCTCCCTTCCCCTGGGTTCTCACCCAGCCCCCTTCCCCTCTCCATTCCCCTGGGTCCTCATGGATCCCCTTCCCCTCTCCATTCCCCTGGGTCCTCATGGATCCCCCTTCCCCTCTCCATTCCCCTGGGTTCTCATGCAGCCCCCTTCCCCTCTCCATTCCCCTGGGTTCTCATGGATCCCCCTTCCCCTCTCCATTCCCCTGGGTTCTCATGGATCCCCCTTCCCCTCTCCATTCCCCTGGGTTCTCATGGATCCCCTTCCCCTCTCCATTCCCCTGGGTTCTCATGGATCCCCTTCCCCTCTCCATTCCCCTGGGTTCTCATGGATCCCCTTCCCCTCTCCATTCCCCTGGGTTCTCACCCAGCCCCCTTCCCCTCTCCATTCCCCCTGGGTTCTCATGGATCCCCTTCCCCTCTCCATTCCCCTGGGTCCTCATGGATCCCCCTTCCCCTCTCCATTCCCCTGGGTTCTCATGGATCCCCCTTCCCCTCTCCATTCCCCTGGGTCCTCATGGATCCCCCTTCCCCTCTCCATTCCCCTGGGTCCTCATGGATCCCCCTTCCCCTCTCCATTCCCCTGGGTTCTCACCCAGCCCCCTTCCCCTCTCCATTCCCCTGGGTCCTCATGGATCCCCTTCCCCTCTCCATTCCCCTGGGTCCTCATGGATCCCCTTCCCCTCTCCATTCCCCTGGGTTCTCATGGAGCCCCCTTCCCCTCTCCATTCCCCTGGGTTCTCATGGATCCCCCTTCCCCTCTCCATTCCCCTGGGTCCTCATGGATCCCCCTTCCCCTCTCCATTCCCCTGGGTTCTCACCCAGCCCCCTTCCCCTCTCCATTCCCCTGGGTCCTCATGGATCCCCTTCCCCTCTCCATTCCCCTGGGTCCTCATGGATCCCCCTTCCCCTCTCCATTCCCCTGGGTTCTCATGCAGCCCCCTTCCCCTCTCCATTCCCCTGGGTTCTCATGGATCCCCCTTCCCCTCTCCATTCCCCTGGGTTCTCATGGATCCCCCTTCCCCTCTCCATTCCCCTGGGTTCTCATGGATCCCCTCCCCCTCTCCATTCCCCTGGGTTCTCATGGATCCCCTTCCCCTCTCCATTCCCCTGGGTTCTCATGGATCCCCCTCCCCTCTCCCTTCCCCTGGGTTCTCACCCAGCCCCCTTCCCCTCTCCATTCCCCTGGGTTCTCATGGATCCCCTTCCCCTCTCCATTCCCCTGGGTCCTCATGGATCCCCTTCCCCTCTCCATTCCCCTGGGTTCTCATGGATCCCCTTCCCCTCTCCATTCCCCTGGGTTCTCACCCAGCCCCCTTCCCCTCTCCATTCCCCTGGGTTCTCATGGATCCCCTTCCCCTCTCCATTCCCCTGGGTCCTCATGGATCCCCCTTCCCCTCTCCATTCCCCTGGGTTCTCATGGATCCCCCTTCCCCTCTCCCTTCCCCTGGGTCCTCATGGATCCCCCTTCCCCTCTCCATTCCCCTGGGTCCTCATGGATCCCCCTCCCCCTCTCCATTCCCCTGGGTTCTCATGGATCCCCCTTCCCCTCTCCATTCCCCTGGGTCCTCATGGAGCCCCCTTCCCCTCTCCATTCCCCTGGGTTCTCATGGATCCCCTTCCCCTCTCCATTCCCCTGGGTTCTCATGGATCCCCCTTCCCCTCTCCATTCCCCTGGGTTCTCATGGAGCCCCCTTCCCCTCTCCATTCCCCTGGGTCCTCATGGATCCCCTTCCCGTCTCCATTCCCCTGGGTTCTCATGGATCCCCTTCCCCTCTCCATTCCCCTGGGTCCTCATGGATCCCCTTCCCCTCTCCATCCCCCTGGGTCCTCATGGATCCCCTTCCCCTCTCCATTCCCCTGGGTCCTCATGGATCCCCTTCCCCTCTCCATTCCCCTGGGTTCTCACCCAGCCCCTTCCCCTCTCCATTCCCCTGGGTCCTCATGGATCCCCCTTCCCCTCTCCATTCCCCTGGGTTCTCATGGATCCCCCTTCCCCTCTCCATTCCCCTGGGTTCTCATGGATCCCCCTTCCCCTCTCCATTCCCCTGGGTTCTCACCCAGCCCCCTTCCCCTCTCCATTCCCCTGGGTCCTCATGGATCCCCCTTCCCCTCTCCATTCCCCTGGGTTCTCACCCAGCCCCCTTCCCCTCTCCATTCCCCTGGGTCCTCATGGATCCCCCTTCCCCTCTCCATTCCCCTGGGTTCTCATGGATCCCCTTCCCCTCTCCATTCCCCTGGGTCCTCGTGGATCCCCCTTCCCCTCTCCATTCCCCTGGGTCCTCATGGATCCCCCTTCCCCTCTCCATTCCCCTGGGTCCTCATGGATCCCCCTTCCCCTCTCCATTCCCCTGGGTTCTCATGGATCCCCTTCCCCTCTCCATTCCCCTGGGTCCTCGTGGATCCCCCTTCCCCTCTCCATTCCCCTGGGTTCTCATGGATCCCCCTTCCCCTCTCCATTCCCCTGGGTTCTCATGCAGCCCCCCTTCCCCTCTCCATTCCCCTGGGTCCTCATGGATCCCCTTCCCCTCTCCATTCCCCTGGGTTCTCATGGATCCCCCTTCCCCTCTCCATTCCCCTGGGTTCTCATGGATCCCCTTCCCCTCTCCATTCCCCTGGGTTCTCATGGATCCCCTTCCCCTCTCCATTCCCCTGGGTTCTCATGGATCCCCCTTCCCCTCTCCATTCCCCTGGGTCCTCATGGATCCCCCTTCCCCTCTCCATTCCCCTGGGTTCTCATGGATCCCCTTCCCCTCTCCATTCCCCTGGGTCCTCGTGGATCCCCCTTCCCCTCTCCATTCCCCTGGGTTCTCATGGATCCCCCTTCCCCTCTCCATTCCCCTGGGTTCTCATGGATCCCCCTTCCTCTCTCCATTCCCCTGGGTCCTCATGGATCCCCCTTCCCCTCTCCATTCCCCTGGGTTCTCATGGATCCCCCTTCCCCTCTCCATTCCCCTGGGTTCCTAACCCTCCCTGCCTTCCCCTACATGGTAGTAGATTGTATTTTGAAGTATCGTACATATATATATGGAATACCTCTTTCCATTATTTCTTGTTCCTCTAGTTCTTACTGAAGGTTTTTTTTTGCATGTCATGGCAAGGTTTTTGTCTTTGTCATCTGATCTCTATCAGATCCTTAGGGTACCCATTCTTGTCAATCGCCATTATTTTGTGCTGATTCATCAACCCTTTGAAAAAGAGAGGGGTTGTTCTGTTGGTTCTTCAGTGTTTGTTGTTGAAGGGTATTTAAGATTTTGAGTTTTTCTTCTTCCATAATTTTCAACAGTATGTTTAGTGAAAAAACATATATGAAAAAAAGTATAGCTGTTCCTTGGCCTATGTATGTTTTGAGATTTTTTTCTTATTTGTGCTGTTATGAAGAAAAAGCTGTACATTTTTAAATTTTGATTTAATTTTATTTATTTAAGTTTTTGGTACCAGGGATTGAGCTCAGGAGCACTTGACCGCTGAGCCACCTCCCCAGCCTTATTTTCTATTTTATTCAGAGACAGGGTCTCACCGAGTTGCTTAGCACCTTATAGTTGCTGAGGCTGGCTTTGAACTCATGATCCTCCTGCCTCAGTCTTCCAAGCTCCTGGCATTGCAGGCATGCACCACCACGCCTGTCTGTACATTAAGATTTTTTTAAAAATTGTTAATGGACCTTTACTTTATTTATTCATTTATTTATTTGTTGTGCTTAGAATCTAACCCAGTGCCTCACACATGCTAGGCAAGTTCTGTACCACTGAGCCACAACCTGAGCCCTAAAATTTTTTTGTGTGTGTCATCATGGAGCCAAGCATTTATTTACAGAAATGGTTAAGATGAAAAGTAATATTTTGAAAAACTTTTATATTGTAAGCTTCTTACCATAATGACCGCTCCCCCATCTTTGCTAGGTGGTTGCTGTTTTGCTTGAAGAGGACCGTTTGGCTGGTGAGCCCGTCTGGAGCCTCAGGGCTGCAGATCACACCCTGAGCATTAGTGATAGCTCTTCTCAGGTGGACACTGGCCTGCCATTTCTTGAAAGTAAGGGGTCTTCAGTGAGTTTATTTCTAGTCCAACCAGTAAACATTTATATTTATGGAATGATCTTTAGTTTTACTTCTATTTTAATGCAATAGAATTTATTGTATATAGAGACAGACTCTATTTGTGCCACACTGAAAAGTGAATATTTAGGGTTTTTTTCCAAAATATGTATGTTAAATTTATGATTCTCGATTTTTTTTGCTGATCAAAGATAGCTTTTAGTAACTTAAATAATGAGATTATTTAAATGAATTAAAACTGAGATTGTCTGTATTTGTTTTAATTCCAGAATCTATTCCTTCACTTACTCATTTTCTTTTGATTTCTCTAATGAAACAGTTAGAATAGCTTGAGGGTGTTGCATTGTTGACTTAGACACAGGTGTGAGACACCCATTGTGACTCAGAGATACTCATTTACATGTTTAAGGTAAGTCATGGCTATAGAAAGTAAATGCTAAACAAATGAATCACAGACTAGCAAAGAAGTCCTGTTGGGGCGCTGGGGATGTGACTCAGGTGGTAGCGTGCTCATCTGGCATGCGGGCGGCCCAGGTTCGATCCTCAGCACCACATACAAACAAAGATATTGTGTCCGCTGAGAACTGAAAAATAAATATTAAAAAAAAAAAGTCATGTTGGCATGTAATTAAATTATTTTAAATGAACTGAAATGCAAAGACCGTATTTAAATTTCTTTAGCTAATAACATTTTACCTTTGAAAAAAAGTGTCTAGGGAGGTAGCTCTTGGCAATTTTGGCCCAGGTTTGTGGGGAAAGTGCCTCAAAGTCGCTTCTCCTTAAGAGATCAGGCTGTGAGCATGCTCTCAGGCACGTGTGAGGCTGAGCATTTGGTGCTACTTGTTCTTGAAATGTCTTCTTTTCCGCCTGCTATTTGTAGGTTTAGTTGTGTACATTCCTCTGTCCTTTAATGTTTGCGAAAATTACGTTAATTTAAATAAATCTTACTATTCCTTGAGAGCATTTTGTTTATTTCTTTTTATTTTATTTATTCTAATTGTTATATATGACAACAGAATGCAATTCAATTCATATTACCTAAATAGAGCATAATTTTTCATGTCTCTGGTTGTACACAAAGTAGAGTCACACCATTCGTGTCTTTATACATGTACTTAGGGTAGTGATGTCCATTGCATTCCCCCTTCTTTCTTACCTCCATGCCCCCTCTCATCCCCCTCCCTCTCCTTTACCCTATCTAGGGCTCCTCTATTGTTCCCATGCTCCCTGCCCCACCCTCACTATGAGTCAGCCTCCTTACATCAGAGAAAACATTCAGCATTTGGTTTTGGGGGATTGGCTAACTTCACTTAGCACTATCTTCTCCAACGCCATCCATTTTCCTGCAAATGCCATGATTTTGTGTTCTTTTACTGCTAAGTAAAATTCCATTGTGTATATATGCCACATTTTTCTTTATTCATTCATCCACTGAAGGGCATCTAGGTTGGCTCCACACTTTAGCTATTGTGAATTGTGCTGCTGTAATCATTGATGTCGCTGTGTTCCTATAGTATATGCTGTTCTTAAGTCCTTTGGGTATAAACCGAGGAGAGGGATAGCTGGGTCAAATGGTTGTTGCGTTCCCCATTTTGTTTATCTTAAACAAAAAAGATCCTGTTAGAAAAATGGTAAATCTGTGTACCTGTAGCATAACAGCACAGCAGCACACACAGAGAAGCAGACCGAAGCTGTGCTGCTGCCTGGAGCTGACGCAGAGCACAGCGACAGCAGAGAGGAAACCTGGCTCACACCTGTGTCTGGCATCCCTCATGACCACCAGTGTCAGCAGAGGTTTTCTGGTTTGCTAATTTTTGTGTTTTAGTAAAATGGATATTGAGATAGAAGAAGGAAAATGAGATGGGGAAGAGGCATCTGACAGAGTGAGTGGGTCGCTTCACCTTTGTGAACTTAGGATCTGGCTCATTCTCTCCCAGTCTGAGGTGAGATGCAGTGATATTTGAGCCTCCGTGGAATCTGCTCTCTGCTATCATCACTCCTAAAGCACATGTCCCTGGGTGAGGGCTCGGTGTGCAGAGTGTCCTAGGCATGATGACGGGGTGGATTCCGCAGTGAGGGGGGCAGAAATGCTGCCCTCCTGGGACTTAGGTTTGGTGTTGAGATGGACTGCAGACTGCTGACCAAGGGCTTGTGATGTGTTAGAGAGGGAGGCCTTCCATGGAGAGGCCACAGACAGCTTCTGGAGAGAAGGCCTCCCTGGGTGAAGCCAGATGGGGAAGCAGGCTGTAGGGAACGGAGGCCTGGCCCGCAGAGCCAGGTGAGGTCACTGGAGTGGCAGAGTGCAGACCTCCTGCTGGCACTGAGCAGAACTCTGCAATAGAATGGTGCTCATCTTTCTGAGAACCACTGTGGAAAATCGCCCATAAACCCATAGAGCTCATGGATGGAATCCCAGCACAACATGCAAAAAAATATGAAAGATGGCAGCAGGTTCCACACGTGTTGAATGGTCAAGAAACCAAGCCATTGAGGCACTTTTTCTGGAGAAGGACCTGGAATTTTCTGTGGAGGGCCCAGGAGGGCTGTGCCCGCATGCCTGTGACAGGGTGGCCCAGGTGTGGATGTCGTGGGCTCTGGCATCCATGGGTGTGGGGTATGTATGCCTTGGTGGTCTGGCACCGTCCTCTGTGCTGCCCCCTCCCTGCCTGCAGTGCTGTCTGTCTGTGACTGAGCAGCTCTTACCTGACATCCTGCTCTCTCCCCTCTGTCAGCATCTTCTGCTGATTTGGGGGCACAGCAAACTCCACCGACACCGAAGCCTGGAATTGGTTCCATTTGCTATTATCCAGCAGCATCTGGAGCAGAGCTCAGCTCTACCTCACTGGAAGAGACAAGTCTGCCGTGTTCCTGGCAGGCTGTTTTAAGAGAACTGAGGTTCCTAAGGGTAATGTCCTCACAAGGGATCAGCGTGGCTCAGTCCTGCGCCTCCTGCCCTGAGCTGCTGATTCTGAGTGCAAGCTTGTGGCTGAGAAGAGGTGTGATGCCCTGGCTGCCTGGCCAGCCAGGAAGGTCACGTGCTCACCTTGGCTGTGGCCATTACCAGTGTGTGTTCAGTTTGTTTCTTCATTAGGTTGAAATTTATTTGAGGGGTCTGGGTGTTCATTTAACATGGATTCCAGCAAATTGCTAAGATGCAAACATACTTTTCTTATCTTTTCCCCAGATCGAAAAGTATCCTGCTTGCATGCCTCTCGAGTACAAAGGCAGACCGTGGTCTCTGTGCATGATCTACCTGCAAAGGCCTCTGCCCAGCTGCTGGACTGCAGATACCTCCTCTGTGTATGGGACATCTGGCAGCCTTCAGGGCCCCAGAAGGTCCTGATTTGTGAGTCTAAGGTATATGCAGGAGGAGAGGCGTGTTTGCTGGGGGTGCTGAGAAGAGGAGAGCCGACTGTCACTCCCGTCTTGCACAGCTCCCCTCAGCCCTGCTGTGGGCCAGCAAGACACAGGGGTGTGTTTGCTTCAACTCCAGAAATTCTTAGTTCACAGGACCCACTCAGATTGAGAGTCCTAGGAGTCAGAGAGCAGGCTCTTGGCCAGTCGAGAACTTGGAAGTGAGTGTAGTTGTGGGCTTACTGGAAACACTGGCCGACCTGGGCACGACACTGGACCCTAGGACTTCCTCCTTGGCTGGCGCTGTGGGGCATGTTAGAGGTTTCCTCTTTTCCTGAGGCTTCTTGAAGTAGCTTTGCACCCCTGTCACTTATCTGGGCACGCCCTCCTTCATGTGTTTATGCTCCTGGTCACTGACAGCCAGGGGAAGAGCTGCCCCTTCACATTCATATCCCTTTAATTAGGAAAATGTCCTACTTTTGTGTTCCTTGATTTCTCCCAAAGCCATAGGGAGGAGTAACTTTCACAGGTACCAGTTTTAGGGAATTGAATGTTAAAACTTTTTGCAACAGAGGGTGTAGTTGAGGTGACTAAGGGTGGAATGGTCTGTTTTGAAGCCCAGTGAATTGCATTGAGAAGAAGTGACAGTCGAGCACCTCTCATGTGGCTATCATGTGGTCCCAAAAGTCCTACAGGGGGACTTTGTCCCTACTGTCCATTTGAGGAAACCAAGCATTTTATCTATGTGCAGAGGTCTGTGTTCACTAGGTCCTTCAGCTTCTCAGACACAGCCACCTGGGACGTCCCTCTGGGTCAAGTGAGCAGGCGCCAGTGTGGGACGAGCAGACCCGACTGCCGTGGGCCAGTCCCCTGCTGCCCAGGTGTCAGCCCCCGGTGTTTTCCTTTCAGGTCACGTGTTGCTGCTTTAGCCCTCTGAAGGCATTTCTGCTGTTTGCTGGGACAGCACATGGCTCAGTGGTGGTGTGGGACCTAAGAGAAGACTCCAGGATTCACCGTTACGTTGAGCTGAGTGACTGCTGCTGGACCTTCAGGACGGCCACGTTTTCCACCGGTCAGTGTCATGTCTGCCAAGCTGGTATCTCTGGAAAGCCACCCCAGAGCTGAGACTGAAGTTTTAAATTGATTGGCATTTATTCATTCAGATTATCCAGAAGCTGGGATCCAATCCATGGGCAAGGGAGGCATTTGATAAGTAGAAAAAAATATTTACCCAAGTAACCCTGATGCAGCAGCCAAGAGTGATTGGAATCGTCCTTCATATTAAATCTGTGGATTCCCTGAAATCCTCAACAAGATGGTGTGTGGTTTTAGATCAGCTGAGGGGTCGATGGTGTGTGTGCGCCTGTGGCATGGTGGGTTAGTGCTGGCAGTGGGAAAGTGAGGGTCGTCTCCCCCTGGGGCTGACAGGCCAGAGCGGCCACCCTCCCAGGATGCCAATCTCCTGTCACCCACCCTGCCACCACCACAGCACTCGCAGTCACTTCCTGGAGCCAGCACTCTCCCCAGGCCCCTTGTGTCTACCTGCTCATTTAGTTGTCATGATAGCTGTGTCCCTGCTGCCCCGGAAGGTGACTGTGTGTGAGGCCACACTGACTACATGGGCAGGCTGTCCCAGACTGCTGACTGACCCAGTGCCACAGTGCCTCCCCGGAGGGGCCAGAGCCCTGCTGCCATGGCTCAGCCCCCAGCCCTCAACTCACTCCTGCCGGTCTCTCTGGTCCTGCCCTTCTCTCTTCACATTCAGAACCCTGCTGTGGTCCTCCCGGCCACTGATTTTGTTCTGTCCTGGCTCTGGGTTGTCCAGATGTCAAAGCACTGGACTTGTGCAGTAGCCATGTGTTGAGACTCCTGTGCTGCTGCGTGTTGCAGAGGCTCACTGCTTTGCTGAAGGTGTCCCTTGTGTAGATGCTCCCCTGGAGCCACTCTGGACTTGTGGTTGATTCCAGTTGTTGGTGATTGTGAATAAGTGTGCCAGGAGCCTATCCAAGAGTGTTAGCCATTTTGCATTGCCACAGGGTGTGAGAGTTTCAGGCACTCTGCATCCTCACCAGCACGGTGATCTTCCCTTCCTTGATGGCTGGTGATGTCGAGCACACGTCCATGTTTATTCATATTCATCATCCCTAGGTCTGTGTGGGTGACATCTGTTGAAGGTTTTTCCTTTTTTTTTTTTTTTTATTGGGTTGTTTCCTTATTAAGGTTTTTTTTTCTTTTGTCCTGGAGATTAAACCCGGGGCCTTGCACAAGCTCAGCAAGAACTTCACCACTGAGCTGAATCCCAGACCTTTATGTCTTGAGCGTTTTCGTGTATTCTGGGTATAACTGGCAGGTTTTGTAAATACTTTCTCTCAATCTGGTTATCTTTTCTCATAACATTGTCTGAGAAGGACAGAAAACATTTTAAATTTGATGAAATTCAATCATCAATCTTTTTCTTTTATGATTTTATGTCTGCTGTCACATCTAAGCAGTTTTTGCTTAACTGCTTTGCCAAAGGTGTCCCCTATGTTTTCTTCTAGAAGTTGTGTGATCCTCGATTTTATAGATAAGTCTGTGCTCCACTTCTGCGGATTTGGGGCATGGTGAGGGGTGTTAGTTGGGGTCTGCTTTTTTTGCATATAAGAAGTCTTTAGTGGATAGGACGACAGTCGGCATTCCCTCCCTCCGCAACCAGCACTCCTGGGCCACCACGTCCTCCCCGGAGACTGGATTCCGGTGTCCTGCCAGGGGCACAGTGGCGCCTCCTCGTGATGCATGGTGGGAGCCCTTTCCAGACGTTTGCATGACATCCATGCATCCTATTTGGCGAGGTGTCTGTTGAGGTCTTTTGTCCATTTTTTTAATTAGATTTTAAAATTTTTTTTCATTTATTCTAATCAGTTATACATGACAGCAGAATGTTCTTTGATTCATTGTACACAAATGGAGCACAAGTTTTTACTTCTGGTTGTACACGAAGTAGGGTCCCATCATTGGTGTGATCATATATGTACCTAGAGTAATTATGTCCATCTCTCCTATCCCCGTGCCCCCTCTCCTTCTCTCTCTCCCCTTTGCTCCATCCAAAGTTCCTCCACTCATCCCATGTCCCTCCCCATTGTGGATTAGCATCTACTTATCAGAGAAAACATTTGTCCTTTGGTTTTTTGGGATTGGCTTACTTCGCTTAGCATGATATTCTCTAACTCCATCCATTTACCTGCAAATGCCATAATTTTAGTCTCTTTTATTGGTGAGTAATATTCCATTAGGTATATATACCACAGTTTCTTTATCCACTCATCTATTGAAGGGCATCTAGGTTGGTTCCACAGTTTGGCTATTGTGAATTTTGCTGCTATGAACACTGATGTGGCTGTGTCCCTGTAGTGTGCTGTTTTTAAGTCTTTTGGGTATAGACCGAGGAGTGGGATAGCTGGGTCAAATGGTGGTTCCATTCCCAGTTTTCCAAAGAATCTCCATACTGCTTTCCAGATTGGCTGCACCAGTTTGCAGTCCCACCTCAATGTATGAGTGTGCATTTCCCCCACAACCACATCAATACTTATTGTTGCTTGTATTCTTGATAACTGCTATTTTGACTGGAGAGAGATGAAATCTTAGAGCAGTTTTAATTTGCATTTCTCTAATTACTAGAGATGTTGAACATTTTTTCAAATATTTGATTGATTTTATATCATCTTCTGAGAAGTGTCTGTTCAGCTCCTTAGCCCACTTATTGATTGGGTTGTTTGTATTTTTGGTGTTAAGTTTTTTGAGTTCTTATATATCCTGTAGATTAGTGCTCTTACGTGCGTGTGGCAACAATTTGCTCCCACAATATAAGCTCTCTGTTCACCTGATTGATTGTTTCCTTTGCTGAGAAGAAGCTTTTTAGTTTGAATCCACCCCATTTATTGATTCTTGATTTTATATCTTGTGCTTTAGGAGTCTTGCTAAGGGTGTTGGGGCCTAATCTGACATGGTAAAGATTTGGACCTACTTTTTCTTTAGATGTAGGGTCTCTGGTCTAATTCCCAGGTCCTTGATCCACTTTGAGTTGAGTTTTGTGCATGGTGAGAGATAGGGGTTTAATTTCAATTTGCTGCATATGGATTTCCAGTTTTCCTAGTACCATTTGTTGAAGAGGCTGTCTTTTCTCCAATGTATGTTTTGGCACCTTTGTCTAGTATGAGAGAACTGTATTTATGTGGGTTTGTCTCTGTGTCCTCTGTTCTGTACCATTGGTCAGGTATGTGTTTTGCAGATATTTTTCTCCATTTTGAGATTCATTTTCTTTCTCTTGACTAAGTAGCACTTTAAAAATTCTCATTTCCTAAATGCCTCCCATGACATTTTAATCCACATATATGCTGCCTTTCTGTTTATGTGCCATGTGTATCTGTGCTTGTGCATTAAAAAAGCAGTGGGGAGATATTGCTGCTTTTGAGAGGGTTTTAATTTATAGGTACTATGTGGATTTTGATGGCATTTATATATACACATATATATGCACATATGCATATGTGTGACCATGGATGAATAGATATGTATGTATTTTAGACAGGGAAAAGAACACATAAAGTTTATTTACATGCCTCAGGCAAGGCAGTTATTAGGCTCCAAAATAAATCTTTTATAACTGCATTTTCTAACTCTTGGTATTAATAACAAACCTTTGAATCTAGCACTATTTTCAAAACACTAAATCTCGGACCCATATGTAGTCCCTCAGTCTTGGTGGGGTTAGTTCCAGGACCCCTGAAGCTCCCCGGTCCTCAGGTGTTCATGCCTCTTACACGAGGCCCCGTGGTGTTTGTGTATACCTGTGCACACGGCCCCTGTACTTGATACCATCTCTCGTGACTTGTGTATGTAAGATAGTGCAAATACGTGACTAGCTGCTGTGCCCTGTGGGAGTCCTGGTAAGAAGGGCCCCTGCGGTCACTATGGTAAGGTTTCCCCCAGAGGATTTTCAGTCTGCATTGGTTGAATGCATGGGTGAGGGACCCCTGGGTTCAGAGGGTCACTGAGTACAAAATGATTGTTTCATTTTGTTTGCCATCTAACTCTTGTCAGTAAAACCTGCAAAGTCTTAAATGAGCTCTTGGCAGTGAGGACTCCTCGTCCTCCTCAGGTATTTCTGAATCGTGTCTGTTTCCTAATGATGCTGCTTGGTCTATCCTGGCCTCTGGCTTTCCTTGGGGGCCTGCGGCAAGAGCTGGGTGTTTCAGACCCAGAAGCGCCTCCATCGTTGTCATGTTTGACCTGCTTGTGTTCCTGCCATGTGATGCGGGTGCACGGCACTGCGGGTTCATTCCAGACGGAGTCCTTACCTCAGTGAGCCACCGAAGCCCTCTGCAGGCCCTGGAGGCCGTCTCCTCGTCCGTCTGCCGGAAGCAGAGCTTGGTGCTCTCGCCCTTCTCTACCCAGGAAGGTTCGTGACGCCCCTCAGCCCGCGAGAGCAGGGACCCACGGGCTGCCTGGGTTAAAGCTGCTGCTTTCTTTCTGTCTCTGGCTTCCTTAGAAACGTCGGGTTTGTCGTTCCACGTGGCCTCCCTGGATGACAGCGGGGTTCTCAATATGTGGGTGAGTTGCTGGCCCAAGGCCATGCCCACTGGCCAAATGGAATGGCTGCAGTAGAGAAAACACCTGGATTGAGGCATGGGCCGGGAAAGAGAGGGCACAAGCAGGGGGGAAAGCAGGAGTGACCTGGGTTTGTAGTTGTGTGGGGAGGGGACACAGGATCTTAGACCCAGCAAGTCTAGGGCCTGGCTGGCCACTTGGTAGCCGCTCCTGCAGGCCTGTGCGAACATGGAATGAGAGCTGTGGGAGGGCGTCCAGGCCAGAGGGTGACATCAGGACTCATCCTGTAGGCCATGGGACCTGCTGAGCAAGTCCCTGAGGGAGGAGAGTGTAGCGACCAGAAGGAAGGTGCCCCTGGCATTAAGGTGTCAGTATGTCGGTCCTGGAGCTGACCGCCAGCCTGTTTTCTGGGGCAGTTATATTTTTAGGACCCTGTGCTCTCTTAATTAGAGCCATATTTTGCTTCAGTTGTTTCCTAATTGTAAAATATGTCATCTTCATTTTCATTATTTTATTTTAGGTGGTTGTTGAATTACCAAAGGCGGATATGGCAGGCTCGATAAGTGACTTAGGTAACTATTAAATTTAAAAATTAACTTTAGTCAGTATTTGCTGAAACAATTGGAAATCAAACATATCTCTACCTGCTTTGAAAATGTGTGATTAGCTACCTGAAAAATGAAGTTATAGATTGTGCACCTTACCAGCTGTGGAGTGGCACCTCATAGCACTGACCAAATGCTTTCTCCCGTAGCTTGGTCAGTCCTGCCTGCAGCTGCCTATCGCTCTGCTCTGTTGGGTCAGTCGAGGACCTCTGTGTTCTGCGTTCAGGTGTTGGGAAAGGCAGCAGAGTTCAGACGGCCTCAGCTGGGAGCAGATGTGCCATCCGTTGCCCGAGCCCTTGCCCACTTTGGGCTCTTCCTGTACAGTGTGGCCCTCCTGGACTCCTCAGGGCGTGGGGCAGAAGTGATGGGGGACAGCTGGCAGTTTTGATGCTGTGTGGTGTGGTTCTAGAGGCCAAGAGGGCTCAGAGGTCACAGAACACTTGGGTCCTGTGGTACGCTGTGGCCTAGCTGGACTGCCTCAGCCTCTAGCCGCTCCCCTTTCAGTGACATAGCCTCCCTTGTTTGTGCTGGGCTGTGTCCCTGGGTGGCTTTGGGAAGCAGTAGGAGGGATTTGGACTTTGTTCCTGCTCTTCAGAGTGAGGGAGGAGCTCTTGGCCTCACAGAGCAGATGTGGCTGCCCCTACCAGACGGATGCCCTGCACCGTGGGGTTTCTGGGGGAAACAAGACCGCGTTACTTGCTGTGCGCCGTCCCCCTGTGCTGACCTGTCTGGGTTCTGGTCTGTCAGGTTACGCTCAGAACCTCGGGTCCTCAGAACACAGGAGCCCTGTGCCTCCTCTGCGGTGTTCCTCGCCGTCAGCCTCGTCCCTCCTGCTCAGCGTACCTTGCTGTTGTCTCTGCTGGCTGACCTGCCTTGCCTGCTCTCCCAAGCACGAGGACCCTGCGGTTTGAGCCTGTTGAGGCAGGCCTTGCTGCTGATGGGCCCCTGTGACAGCACTGCCCGCAGACACAGGCAGTGGGAATAGCATTAGTCTGCCTAAAAACATTTTGAGGCACATATGAAATGTCATGCAGGGGATCGAGGCATGTGCCTGTGATGTGAAACACACCCTTCGTGTGTTCTACCTCTGCAGATCCCCAGCTGCCTCGCCACTTTGCCCTCAGGAGGGGGGTGCTGCCTGGCAGCAGAGAGTGCAGGGTGCCAAGCTGTCCTGAGGCCTCCCACTGTGGCCTGTTGTGGACTGAAGCCATGTCTGTCTTTTATTCCTTTCTGAAATGTACTCTGCAGGTCCAGTCCCAGGTGCCAGGGAAACGGTGGGGAGGAGATGTGGGCTGTAGATGGGGACTGGGGTGTAATGCTAGGACACGGAGCTACCTGGACAAGGCTGGGTCAGAGAGGTGTCTCTGGAGAAGTGTGAGCCAGGACTCATGGGCACGCCTGCCGCAGAGGTGCCAGGCAGTTAGACCACATGATGGCAGCGTGCCAGGGCCCTGCCACCTCACAGCGTCTTCATTTAGTTGCTTCCAGGTCCTAGGTGAGATTCTGCTCAGAATCACATGGGTCTCTGTTCCTCTCGTGCACTGATTTTAAAAAGGGAGGATGGTGTTGGGAGTAGCGAGGAGGCTAAGCCAGCTCATGTCTGAGGGTCAGTGTGGTGGCTGTGCGCACTTTGGAAAACGAGGGGAGGGAAAGAAAGATGGGGTCGGCCCTGGGAGTCCTGATGTTTGTTGTTCGAGGAGAGGAAGTTAGGAAACTGAGGAGCAATGAGGGAGGCTGGAGGAGCTGGAGACCCCCAGTTCCGTCAGTAAGTTCTGAACGGCCCTGGGGGACTTTGCAGACGGGGCTTGCTGCTGTGGGCTGAAGGGTGCTGCCCCTGCTCTTGCTGCACCTGAAGGCAGAAGGCTCCAGGGTCAGAGTCCCCTGTGATCCTCGCGGAGCACGCGCACCTCACCTGTCGTTTGCATTGTGGCACTGTTTGAGATGACGTTTAGGCAGTGAGCGTGGCTCCAGGTTACGAGGTGCACCCGTTCTGCCTGTCTTTGTAGGTCTCATCCCTGGAGGGAGGATCAAGCTGGTGCACAGTGCCACGCTGCAGGTGGGCGACAGGTGAGACCGTGTGGCTTCACGCCAGGCACCCCCATCTCAGGAGACTCCTGCAGAGAGGAAGGGCATCAGGTGTTGCATGTGCAGCAGATGCCTTGCTGGGTTCTGTAGTGAAAGCATATTTTCTTACACTCTGTTTTTGTACCGAATTTTTTACTGTTTTTGCTTATGAAAGTAGTTGATTTATTAGTAACAAATCAATGTAATAAATATAACTTTCATGTATAGAGCTAATGTTTTTTTGATCAAAAAATGTTTTCTGTCATATAAATTGATGCTACTTCACTGTTTTTCACCTCTTCTAAGGCAGCCCTGAAGTTTAACTTAGATGAAGTTTCAGAAACCAGAAACAGTGATGGAAGGTGTTATTTAGAGACGGACATTTCTACTTTCAGTCACATAACTCAACATGACATACACTTCTTAGTGAATGCACAGCTGTTACTGGTGGTACTTACATGTTCCATGTTGGTTGGCTTCTCATGACTCAGGCCTAACTTTCAACATGCGAAAACCCTTGGAAAATCTTGGAGCCTTTGAGCACTCTTCACCTCGCAGAACAGCTTTGGGTGGTCTTGATGAACTCCCACATGCTTAGCAGTTTTACATCAACCTCAGTTGATTGAAATGCAGTTATGAAGGTGGATCACTCAGTCTGTAAAGTCATCAGATGCGGAGCCAGATGTCATGATGTCCGGCAGTCCCAGACCCGCAGTCAGAGCGGTGCCCTTGCTGGTCTTCTGTTAACCATTTCTTTCTCTGTGTGGCCTTCTCACTTCATGCCATGCATTGCATTTATTTTGACTATAAATTTCTCTAAGACTTTATGTGCTCTTTGGAGGAAAGTAGCTAATGTATCTGATGCCCTGTCCCACCACTTTTAGCAATGCCTTCTGGAGGTCCATGGGAAATAGTGGGGTCAGGAGTGGGACCTGCTGCAAGGAGGAACCCTGACATGGAGCCTCCCTGGCCCAGGGCACTGAGCCCAGCAGCCTTCTAGAACCAAAAGAGGTGTCCCTGGGAGCATGTGTCTCCTTGGTTGAAGTAGCTTCTGCAACCACCTGCCCTCAGCACCCCTGCAAGCCTGCCACTGAAGAGGTATCTGGGAGCCATTGCTTGTCCTCCATGGCTATAACAGAGCAGGAAGTGTCCTTCAGCATGAACAGACATGTGGAGTGCACAGGAGGGGACCTTGGAAGCTAGAGTGAATGTGACTTTGTGGAGGGTGATAACTGAGCTTGACCTTTGAAGAATGGAAGTTGGTGTGTTCTGGCTCCAGAGAATAGTACATGGGAGGCCCGAAGATACGCAGATGCATGGTGTGTTCAGAGCTGCCAGTAGATCTGATGTGGAGGGACGGAGAGGAGTCAGTGGGCACCCTGGTGCATCTGCTTGCTCTGCTAGCCGGTTTAGGTGATAGGACACCACAGGGCTGGCATAGCTTCCTTGTCATTTAGGATGATCAACCTGGCAACATTTTTAGTTTGGAACAGAGGGAGGGAGAGTAGAATTGGGGAGATCAGGTAGGAGACCCCTGAGAGGCTGAGGAAGGCAGAACTGAAGACCTGGGACTGACTGACGGTGCTCAGGAGGGAAGAGCCTCGCATGGCCACCTTCCTAAGGTGGGTTGGTTGTAGGGTGTGCTCTGAAGACGAGCAACAGGAGGAGGAAGGGGTCTGTGGGGAAAGGCAGGACTGGGCAGGGGGCGGTGCAGGGTGGGCAGTCTGAGCTGGAGTGTAGGGGGCCCAGAGGCAATGAGGACCGCAGCAGGGCCACAGCTGGAGGCCCGAGGTGGTGTCAGCCACAGGGCTGACATCTGTGGTCCTGCCATGATGTGTGAGGAGGAGCCAGAAAAGATCTGAGAGAAATCCAGACTCCTCACTTCTGACCAGGGCAGCAGCTGTGCATTAAGGGAAGAACCTCAACAAAACATCATAATTTTTAAAAAGAGGGTTGGAGTTGGGGCTCAGTGGCAGAGCACTTGCCTAGCGCATGTGAGGCCCTGGGTTCCATCCTCAGCACCACATAAATAATAATAATAATAAATAAATAAATAAAATAAAGATGTTTAAAAAAATAAAATAAAGATATTGTGTCTATTTACAACTAAAAAAATCAAATAGAAGGAGAACCTCTAGATGCAAGGACAAGGAGGGAACCTAGTGTAGCAGCCTTTTGAGCTGATGTGTGACAACCCCGAGTCCCATTACCAGACTGAGCTGTCTTGGGCCTTCACTGTGCACTTTGGGCTTCAGCCTCAGGCAAGACCAGGGCTGTCTTGGGCTTGCCTGAGTTGGGAGCCAGACCTGGAACCTCTTTATGGCAACCTGCAACTCAGTGCCCCTTCAGTGTGACAGAAACGGGTGTGGGCATGAGAACCTCAAGGTGAGAAGTGACTGTCAAAGACGTAGGCACGACTGTCTACAAACTGGGGCTCCCAGGGTTCCCATAAGCTGTATGCCAAAGGTGAGTTCACAATCAAAAATTGAAAGAACTATAGGCATGAGGAAGTAGTCCACACAGTGCAGCAAACAGAATTGATGGAGCACCGAAAACCTTTAGAAATGAAACTGTTGTTCCTGTGCCTTTACATGACTCATGGTTAAGCAGCATATTAGATATAGCTGAAGAAAAAATTGGTGAACAAGATGATGGATCTCAAGAAATCACCAAGTGTCCGCCAACAGGAAGCCGAGTGGGCGAGACCACCAAGGGGGTGTGGCCCGGCCGGCTCACGTCAGGCAGTGTGCTGTCATGCTAGGGGAGTGTCGAGATTGTCAGTTATCCTTACGGCTCCAAAACACACCATCTTAATGTCCACTTTCTTTCCCCAGCCTTTCCCATCAAGGGATTGAATTCTGGGGGCCCACACAAACACTGAGTGTCAGATTTCTGCCTTCAGATCCTAATCACTTTATTGTTGGCACAGATGTGGTGAGTAGTATTTTACATTTCCTTCTACCACTCATCCCTCGCTCCCAAAGTTGCATAGTATATAGTTTATTTGAGATTAACTCACTGTTTGCTTTTATTATAATGTGGAATAATTTTTTCAAGCATATTGACTTCACCCAACCTTATACCTAAGTTTTCTTTGGCCACTCTTTATCTTATTACTAGGGTCTTATAAGCCACGGCACAAGACAAGACTTGAGAGTATCTCCCAAACTATTCCGACCTCAGCAATGTGGTATAAGACCAGTAAAAGTCAATGTGATTGATTTTTCACCATTTGGAGAAACAGTATTCTTGGTAAGAAAGTCTGTTTTTATTTATTCATTTATTAAAATATTATTTTAGTTGTAGATGGACATGATACCCTTATTTATTTATTTATGTGGTGCTGGGGATCAAACTCAGGGCTTCACACATGCGAGGCAAGCGCTCTACCCCTGAGCCACAACCCCAACACAAGGAAGTCTCTTTTTATAGCACTTTTTTCCTTTTTAAAAACTTTTTAGTTATAGCTGGATGCGATACCCTTTTCTTATTTATTTTTATGTGGTGTTGGAGATCAAACTCAGTGCCTTACGTGTGCTAGGCAAGAGCTCTACCACTGAGCCACAGCCCCAGCCCAGCCTCAGGCAAGACCAGGGAGGCATTGGGCTTGCCTGAGTTGGGAGCCAGACGTGGAACCTCTTTTCCCAGTGGTATTATTCACCTGTTTGGGAAGTACAACACAGTGACCTATTGGGAGAACTCGAAAGGTCATCATTCATTGGGCTATAAATTAATTGTGTGTTAGGTGTCAGTGATATAAAGTAGAGCAATATGATATTAAGAACAAAGAAAGTAAAATAAATTAGGTCAAAATCGGACTCTCTTAAGAAATACTATGTTCAGTTGCAAACTATTTAGGGTTTAACAGAATACGAGCCCTGCCAGCTCCCATGTCACAGTCCTGAGAGCCTACCTGTTCTTTCTACCCATTCTTGTTAGATGGGCACCATCCCTTCCAGGGCTCGCTGCTGCGCCCGTCAACCCCGTGGTCCCCACCTCGCCTGGGAAGGTCCACACCTCTTGGCACCCGTGTGCAGAGTACTGTATACAGACCCCAGCAGCCACCTGGGATGCAGCTGCTCAGCCCCACCCACAGCCCTCCAGCCTCTGTGAAGGAGCCTGCTGTGTGGGTCCTGAGTCAGGAAGAAGGGGTGTGGCTCAGCAGCTGCTCAGGCCTCCCCCTCCCTCCCCCTCCCTCCCTCTCCTCCCTCCTTTGCCCTCCCTCCCCCCTCCTCCCTCCTTTGGCCTCTGGCCAGGGGCCTCCCCTCTTCCTCCCCCTCCCCCTCCCTTCCCCCTCTTCCCCCTCCCTCCTCCCCCATCACTCCCCTCCCTCCTCCCTCCCTCCCTCTTCCCCCTCCCTCCCCTCCCTCTCCCCCTCCCCCTCCCTCCCTTCCTTCCTCCCTCACTCCTCTCCCTCCTCCCTCCCCATCCCTCCTCCTCCCCCTTCCCTCCCCCTCCCTCCTCCTCCCTCTCCTTCCCCTTCCCTCCCCCTCCCTCCCCCCTCTCCCCTCCCCCTCCTGTGGACCTGTGCTGCTTATTTGGAATATAGGTTTTTAAGTTTGTTTGTTTATATTTCATTTTAGAACTCTACTCCCATTCTTGTTGCTTTTCTTTTCTTTCTCTTCTTTCTCTTTCTTTTACAGTATGTGAAGTATTAAATAGAGTAAAAAGTAATTAATCTTCTTCTTATAGTTATAAATTTGGTCTTTTATTAAACCAGTTTTCTTTTATAGGAATTTTGATCCGGGGGGAATATGTAACCATGTTATTGATGTGGTCATATGTCATTTTTTAAAAAGCGAGTTATTTACTTCCACAAAGCCAAACATATCAGTTTATTAAAATATTATTTTAGTTGTAGATGGACATGATACCCTTATTTATTTATTTATGTGGCTTTTTTATTTATGCTTGAACCAGTGATAGTCCGC